GAGAGCATTTGGCTCACAGATAAGACCTCTGTTTAAAACCATCAGTTAGAAATTCATTCTTTCAGCACTGGGGATTAAATCCAAGGGTGCTTGACCCCAGCTATTTTTATTTATTTATTTTTATTTTGAGACAAGGTCTCACTAAGTTTCCCAGGCTGACTTTGAACTTGTAATCTTCCTGCCTCAGCCTCCCAAGTAGTGCATCATTGGGTCCGCCCAGTGTTAGAAATTTAATGTTGACCCCAAGCACCATACACCTGTTCTAATGGGAAGGGGTCCTGGTCAAACCAGCTGTGATTAAATGACTGTCAAGATGGCTCCTCCCTTTTCCTTTTGGATTACTATGGTGGAAATCCTGCCCCTGATTTTCTCCTTCTCTGTAAAAGAAATATGTCTTATATGTCCTCTTTGGATGCACCTATACCTCAAGTTGCTCCAAGTTCCAAAGACATTGAAAAATTTTAGCCTTGCTGATGGTCTCATATCACAAGTAGTCTAGTAATTGCTTGTGAATTGCAGGAATATTTAGATTTTGAGGTGAGAAGCATATAAGTGGTACTTTAAAATATATTAAAAAATGAAAAATCTCATATGAATATAAAAATGAATTAAGAATAATAACTCTACCACGCGGCCTGCGCAGTGGTTTCATTAATGAGGTTCTAGGCATAAAGTTAGTCAGAAGAGATCGAAATAAAACACAAGACTCAGTTACCTTATTTCTATTGCTAGGTCCGAGAAGGCTCACCTCTCTGGTTCCCTCCTCCAAGCGCCCAGCAGGGCAGCGAGGATTACTYCGGGCTAACAGGAGAGAGAGAGAGAACATGCCTGGAGTAGCCTTTTACTGGGGAACAAGAGATTCAGGGGAGAATTCCATCCAATGAAGGCTGAGGGGGGGCTGCACTCCAAGGTCAGGGTCAGTGATTGGGTCCCCGGGGTCAGTGGTCAGGCACACCCCCACACGGATGGGCTCTCTCATCAGGAAAGGGTCGGGAAAACTTTGACATAGCCAAAGTGCCTCAGGCCCTTAACGGGAGTCACCCAATCACGTGTTAGAATGGCTTCCCACAAATAACTGAAGCTGGGTATGGTGGCACATTCCAGCCACTCAGGAGGCTGAGGCAGGAAGATTACAAGTTCAAGGCCACCTCAGCAACTTTAAACTTTGCTGATAGAACTTTTTTTTTTTTGCCCTTTTTCTTCTTCTTCCTTTTTTAAAAAAATGAACACAAAACTTAATTTACTTATTTTATGTGGTGCTGAGGCTCAAACCCAGTGCCTCACATATATGATACAAGTGCTCTACCACTGAGCCACAAACCCATCCCCAGCTGATAGAACTTTTAATTGTCCATCTACAATACTGCTAATAGAACTTTGGAGAAGGTTCAAATCTATTATGTACAGCATAGTAGCCAGTTGTCACATGTGACTATTAAGCATTTGAAATATGGTTCATGAAATTGAGGAATTGAAGAGTGTGTGTGTGTGTGTGTGTGTGTGTGTGTGTGTGTTACAGGGGATTGAACCCTAGTCCTGGCACATGCTAGGCAAATGCTCTACCACGGAGCTACACACCAAGCCCTTTTTATTTTTGGAATGGGATCTTGCTGAGTTGCTGAGGTTGGTCTTGAACTTGTGAACCTCCTGCCTCAGTCTCCCAAGAAGCTGGAATTATAGGTGTGTGTGGCAGAAATTGAACTTKCAATTTCATTTAATTTAAACTGAAGTAACCACTTGTGACTAGTTACCACATTGGCCTTCACAGATCTAGAATATGGTGATAACCTTGATTCAGGATAGTCTGGGTTACGCTGCAGCCACAAAGTACCCTAAAACCTTTGGTGGTTTGTAAGAACTGAAGTCTATTTCTTGCTGGTTATGAGCAATTCTAGGTTGGCTGAGGACCCAGGTGGAGAGAGCAGCCATCATCCCACATTTGGCCTGTCGTTATGGAGAGTCTTGCACCAGCACTTAAGTGCTTCGGCCCAGAGGACACTTAACACTCTGTTCCCAGCTCACTACCCAACTCTTCACCGAGCCTGACCTACTCAGAAAACCAGGACAGCAGAAAGCCTCAGTAACCCCTTCCACAGACAGTAGCCACCCTCCCTCAAGACACAGAGGAGACCCCAGGGGATAAGGATAGCAGTACTGCTTGTGTTAACTGGAGAAGTGTGTTTCCTCAGAATTCAATTTCCATCACCACCTTCAAACTCATTAGCACAGATTCATCAAATGCAGTGAGATGGGAAACAAAGTGCAAATATCAAACATTTTGGTAAAAAGAGACTTCATATAWAGTGTCAGCTGACAAGAATCAGCATATCTTTCTAGTTATGCATAGACATATCTTTTGATGGGAAGATCTGAAATGTAAGGAATATTCAACGGATTTTAATGATGGGATGAAAATGAGTGGAATAAAGTGTATTAGTTATTTTTCTGGTGCAGAATATGTATCATACATTTTTTGCTAGCAAGGAATAAAAACAGTCCTTCTCTTTTATAAATTCCTCACCAAGAAAATTTGTAGATCATGGTTGCCCTAAAAAAATGAAAACTTTTAAATCTTAACTGGACAATGAATTTCTTCTCTCCAGAGTAGACTATGGAACCACAGAATCATCCATTCCAACACTTAACAACATGTCTTGAATTCTTTCTAGAATAGCCACAATATTACTTGAATAGCCCAAGACATGGGGGACTTATTAGATGATATCCAATAATGAACTTCCCGTAAGCAGGACTGACAGCTTCCTGAGCAAACCTTCATTATTGAGACATAGAAAAAGACTTGGTTGCCAATAATGAACTTGTCCAATGTCACCAACTCAAACCAAGCCCTGGTAAATAAAATCAATGATGATGATGATTTTGTCACATGTAAAAAAAGTCACACAGATTTTAGCATTACAAGGAGCTGATACTATATAAAATATCCTTCTAGAGTGTAATGGCACTAAACTGACACTTGAGAAGAGCTTTGAACTAAATTAGGTCATCTGAATAAACAAGAAGTGTTTACAYCTTTTATATCTGTATCTTCTGTTCCTTAGTAAAACACAACACTACAAGTCAGTTTTTCACATATGTTTGGGATAGTGTTTGGTTTTAGTTATCAGGATGTTACCTATGGACTCTACAATTGGTAGCGTGGAGGAAAGAGAAGTTTGCAAAGACTGAACAAACAGCATGCACTGTGATATCCTTTATTTAAAAATTGTGGTCTAACTACAGTTGTAGTGTTCTCATTTACCATTCTGATGGCACATAAACAAGAGAACATTAACACAATTCCAAGAAGGCATTAACCTGAAAACACGCATATATACCACCCTTGCACCCACACAACACACACGCTCGCGCACACACACACACACACACACACACACACAAACATACACACACACAGATTATAGTTCAAACACAAAGTGATGAAAAATGCTTTGAATGCTCTAAATCAAATTAAAACCCCTTTATTATAATAAACTGTGGCAATACTGTGGTTATAAAGGAAAAAAAACTAAGTTTAAAAAGCCAAAAAAAAAAAAAAAAGGAAAAATACTGGCAATTTGAAACTAGCAGCAAAAAGCAGCTAAAATAGAAGAAAAAAATAAGACTGAAAATCAAAATTCTAATGCTGATACTGTGAAGAATTGCACAGAAGTAGTTTAAAATTGGTTCTAAAGAAACTATTAAAAAGTCCCTTGAAATAGTAAATTGCTGCACCTTATAAACAGTGGAAAAGAAAAAAAAAGAGTATTTGGAATGTTACACACACACACACACAGAGGAAATGCACTAGGGTATAGCATCAGTTTATGGTCTTTGTTTATGACCTTCAGAAAGTTTTATAAAGACAAAAACTTAAGTGCCAAGGTTGTGAAAGAAAGTTAAAAATTCCTACAGATGCGAGTCTGAGTGCATTTATCAGGTCTAAGAATATATTTCAAGGCTGGGGGCCAGGCATGACTGATGTACATTTGAGAAGGAAAATATAGTGGACCCGTAAGGTAGGCCAAGCTCTTTGGAGAGTGTTGAAAATGAAGATTATTAAACTGAAGACTATCTTGCAGAAGATTTCAAAGTACGTGGAATTCTACAGTTGTTCATCTGTTGAAATTGGTTTCATAGTGCCCAATGAATAATTGACTAACTTCAGCAAACTGGTTTTTCCTACATTCAGACACAAACATCTTTACCACGCATGCAGGCTGGATACTCTGTAATAAAGCACAAATCTGAATCCTGATTGAATAAGAAAAGCACATTAGCAAGAACTGTTTTTTCCACGGGTTTTTATCCAAATGTCAGAAATTGCTAGACATTTGTGGAATGGGATAAGTTTAGATTTCCTACTGATTTTAGAAGAAAAGGATATTTTCCTTTCCTAAGGAAGCCAGAGTCATCCATGAGCCTGGGACTTGTCTTCAGAATCTAAGAAACATAATTAATATGTCCTTAGTGCCAAAACTCATGACAAGTACAGGTTCAGAAAAATGGACAGGTTGAAAGGGACAGGGAAACGGAACGGCCTAACATCTACTACAGCATACTTTGGAATAGTGTGCCTTGTAAGTTAAAATGGCTCAACTGCTTTCAGAGTGAAATGCTGCGGTTCTCTGGAGTCAGGGGCTGGGGCAAGGCCTTCCATCTCCAGGTGCCCTCTGAGCTGAACTGTGGCATCTGGGCCCAAAGCCCTTGTGGCCTTTATTTTCATGAGTGTGTTCAGTTGGGGAATTTATGATTTTGTCCAGGTAAAAAATTTCTTTTGGTTACCTTCTCTCAAAATCAACTGGTCAGGCATTTTGCTGGTGATTTCCTGAAATGAAATCTAGCTGCMCTAGTATCTTAAGGTGCCAGCTAATTCAAATTAATGCCCATCAATAATGCTGCTAGGTATCAACTGCTATTGCTGAAGAATCAACCCCCAAATGGCCTAACTAGAAAAATCTATCACACTAGGTGCTTTTACTATCTCGAGTTTTTTGAGCTTTAGAGAAACAGTCCTTTTAAAAATGACTTAGAACCCCCTTCTCTCTGGCTTCGTTTCACTCTTCCTCTTCTTCCTCTTCCCCTTCCCCTTCTCCTTCCTCCATGGTTTCCACAATGAGCTCTGCTGTGCAGGTGGCTTCTCCAAGACTGTTGACAGCCTTGCAGGTGTACTTGGCGTCGTCATCCCCACAGACATCGCTAATAATCAGAGAGCAGTTCCCATCCTCGTCGTAGTCTATCTGGAAGTGGCGGGACTCCCTGATTGACTGGTCGTCTTTGAACCAGACGACCTCAGGGTCTGGATATCCTGCATCACAGGGAGACAACACAGGTTGCAGAGTCTGCTATTCAAAGTCTCATATCGATTCATACCAGCGAAGAGAGCTATTGATTAAGGGGGTCAAGGGAAAAACTCTGACGCTGGCTCTTCGTATCTGTTTTGATATCTATATTGACACATGGGCATGTGTTATGAATACTATGATCTGAAACCCCAAATAAGGTAATTTCAAGGGTATCCATTTCCTACCCGTGCTGGGCCCTCACCAGCCCTCCTTGAAACAATGCTCCAACTCTGACTTCACACTTAGGGCTGAATATCTTTTGGAGGAAAATACATTGTCTTCTATTATATAAAAGCTTAACTTTTAAATTAAAAATATTCAGAATAAATGAGCACAAGGGATCTTTTTGGGGTGCTGGAAATATTCTAAAATTGAATTGTGCTGATGGGTGAGTGATGATAAGTTTACTAAAAATAATTGAGTTGTACACTTAAAATGGGTGAATTTTTCATGGTACATAAAATACCACTCAACAAAGCAGATAACAGCTATATAAAACATGAGAGGAAATGATAATATTGCTAAGAAAAAAAAAGCATATTTGTTTTAATCTGATGCAGGTAACCTGCCTGCAGATAACTGGAAATGAATTCACTAGTTGGCCTCGTTTCATCTTAGTCATGTTTCCACGAAGTTAGTATTAAAGAGTAAATAAAATAAGCTAGGAACAGTGGTATGCATATGTAAATCCCAGCAACTTGGCAGGATGAGGCAGGGGGATCATTGACAATGTAGGTAAATTAGTGAGATCCTGTCTTAAAATAAAAATTTTGAAAAGGATTGGGGATGTATGTAGCTTAGTGGTAAAGCATCCCTGGGTTCAATACCCAGTACCCACCCCCCACAAAACAATATAATTCATACACATAAAATAAATATATACTTTAAAGTAGAGCATGTATATATACAAGAGTGTCATCAACATTGCATTATATGTATATATACATATATTATATATATAGTATATGTTTAAACATATTATATAGATATGTAGGTTTAAATAAATTATATAGATATAAATATATATAGATGTATATTTAAACCTATACTATATATATAATATTCCAACTGTCTTTCTCTTAAAATTTGAATAAGCATTTTAAAAATTTTTATTTATTTATTTTGGAGAAGTGTTTATAGAGGAAAAAATTTTGGTCCAAGCTAGAATAAAAATTAGACACAAGAATTTAAGAATTGCTGGGGCTGGGATTGTGGCTCAGCGGTAGAGCGCTCGCCTAGCATGGGCGGGACCTGGGTTCAAGCCTCAGCATCATATAAAAATAAAGGCATTGTGTTGTGTCCATCTATACCTAAAAAATAAATATTAAACAAAAGAATTTAAGAATTGATGGGCATGGTGGCACATGCCTATAATCCTAGAGGCTAGGGGAGGGGGCGATGAGGCAGGAAGACAGGAGTTCAAAGCCAGCCTCAGCAACTTAGTGAGGCCCTCAGCAACTCAGTGAGACCCTGTCTCTATATAAAAAGGGCTGGGGATGTGGCTCAGTGGTTGAGTGCCCCTAGCACATAAAAAAAAAAGAAAGAAAGAAACTTAACAGAATTCTAACATTCTTTTCAAGTATAATTTTCTTTTTATCAAACAACATCCATATGCTTTAATTTCTCATGCAAGTACCAGTGAGAAGTTATACAAATACAAGGAGATAATCTTAAAGAGATTACATACAAAAGATGATCATCACTATGTTAAATTAAAAAGGAAAGAACTCAGAAGACCCGAGGACAATGGTGAGGGTGAGAGTTATAGGCCGCGGTTCTGGCTTGGAGTAGAAGCCCATCTGAGAACCTTCATATTACCAAAGGCAGCACAGCCACTTTTTTTTTTTTAATCAGATGAAAAAAAGAGAAAAACTGTGGTAGACAAAATATTTATAAGGCATCTAGATAATATAAAGGTGAGGAGAAAATTTGTTTTCTCCTTCCTAAGGCTGGGTTATTTTACTCAAAGGCATCATGGCCACGGTGCTGGAAAGCTGCACAGAATGGGAGACAGGGTTTGTTTGGAAGGCCACGCTGTGCTGAGTGACCTCGGGGAAACTGCTCAATGAACTTTTGTGCTTTACGTGCTCAGAACAAAATGGGAAAAAACCCCTTCACTTTGGTTGGCATGTGAAAGTCCCAGACTTGAAGCAAAGAGGCCTGACTTATCCTGCTCCTTATCTTTCTAGAATGTTGCAATCTGTGGAAACTGAACAGCTTTGTGTCATCAACTCTGCTAATTTCTCAGGCACCATGCCAAGATCCCTTAAGGTCCTTGGGTCCTAACTTTCCCTCACTTTCAAGTCCCATTGCACGCTCCCCCTCTGAGCTTACCAAGCCCCTACTTTCCCCTTTACTTCATAACCTCTTTTCTTTTTTGGTACGGAGGATTAAACCCAGGGTTTTTTTTTTTTTTTTTCAGGGTCTTGCTAAATTGCTGAGGTTGGCCTTGAATTTGTGATTTTCCTGCCTCAGCCTCCCGAGTAGCTTGGATTACATACATAAACCCCCATGCCCAGAGGCAACAATATCCTTCCTTCCTTCTTTCCTTGGTACTGGGGTTTAAACCCAGGGATGCTGCTGAGGATGGCTTTGGACTTGTGATCCTCCTGCCTCAGCCTCCCAAATTGTTGGGATTATAAGTGTGTGCCACCACACCTGGCACTATTTCATGACCACTTTAAAGACTTAAAAAGATTTCCCCTTTTCATGTATGGGACCTCACAGAACTACTAGGGCCACTGTGGGTTAGATGTCAATTTATAGATGAAGGACCTAAACCCAGTAGGAGATCACCATCCACTGTCACTGAGCCTGTYAATAAGCAGTAGAACTTGCCAACTCCAGTTCTCTGCCCTTTGTGCCAAGCTCCCTTTCAGTGCCTCTGGGGGCAATTCACAGGCTTCTCAGCAGTTTGCAAAGCTCACTTCATTATGCATGTTACACAGCCAGGAAGGCCCACAATAAGCCTGGTGGCTGGGGTAAGTAGGTGAAATATCAGCTGGGCCCGTGGGAAAGTCACTGAAGGGCACTACCCTTCAAGAGGCAGGGTGGAGGGAGTGGCTCTTTGGAACCGGCTCCTCCTGACCCAGTGCACCTCAGGGTCTGGCTGTTCCTCCCGCTGCAGCACAGCCCTGCCATGTTACACAGGCTGCTTCTGGGCCCCCTCTGGGGTGTGTGAGAAGCAGAGCCTCAGTTTACCTTCGATCTTGCAGTCAAATCTAGCAGCACTTCCCTCCACGACTTCAAGATCACGAATGGTCTTGGAGAAATAGGGTTTTACATGAGGCTTCTCCTCAGCAACGGCTTCAAGGAAAGCCTGGGAGACATCTTCTAGAAGACAAGGAGAGAAGCTGGTCATTTCTTTATTCCTGTTCTCTCCTCTCCCCTGATTTAAAAAGGCTGACTTAAAAAAAAAAAAGAATTTGCTAGAATTTAGCAAATAATGCAGCTTAGCAAAGTGAATCATAAGCACTTCTCCTGGGGATGGTTGGCCTTCTGCCAAATGGTTTCTGGCAGCAGTGAKAACTGTACCCAAAACAGGGAAATGTTCAGCCTCTCCCCACCCTGATGCCAATACACTGAAAGAGGAAGTCATCTTCAGAAAGGGGTTTTGGCTGCATTTCCTGCTGTGTCAGGATGGGTTGAGGAGGTCTGAAAAGGACAGAACCTCTCCAGCCTTCCTATCTCAAGGATCCTTCACCCTCCTACTGCAGTAGGATGCTCACCTGCTCCTTGGAAGGGAGGAACCAGGTTCTAGAGGCACTGTCAACTTGCCCGAGTTTTGTGTTCCACGCTTAGGCGGACTCGAAGATGTATGGCTGTGGACTGGTATTATGGGATAGGTCCAGGGGAAAAGATGGAACTTGGAGGGGCTCCTGTGTCTACTCTCGTCTCTTCAGGCTACGTCTGAGACGTGTAGGGAGAGGCAGGAGTGGCTCAGGAGAGACCAGGCCCATATGCTACAGACTGTCCCTGGCTGCAAGGAAGCGCCAGAGCAGCCAGCAGCAGCCTCACCAATTACTCTGCCTCTGCACAAAAGGGATCTAGATTCAGTGTCTCACCTGTGGATACCAAAAGCATCAGGTAGTATGRGATCCAGGGGTGTCTCTGGCCAAAAGAAGCAGTTCAGGAAGATAACTGCCAGCCCTGCGTGCACTCAAAGCAGGGAGAGGCCAAAGGCCTTGGCTGAGGAGATGGGTGGGACAGCACCCCAAAAATGGTGGGCAAGGAGCTAACCTCTCATCTCCAGGAGGCTTGCTGACCAAAGCCCGCTYAGCCTAACTTGTTTCAGCAGCATGAACAATGGCAGAGAATGTAGACCATACACGTTAATTTTTGTTCCAAACAAAACCACAGGACAATGGAAAAATGGAAGGATATTAAAAAATTTAGATAACTGTATATGATTTTTATTTTGTCTTTGCCTATCAATATGTCTCACTTTTTTAATAAAAGGGAAGTTTTTAATAAGTCCTTATTAATTCTTATGCAAAATAGAGGGAAAAGAAGAGCCAGCCGAGGTCATCTAGTTCTAGTAGACATAGACTTTCCCTCTGAAAATAGTTAAACGCACGGTTAAACAATTAAAGAATACTCGCTAGATACAGTAATTGTTGTCAGGGAAACCTAAAAGTACTCTTGAATTTATCCTTGTAGGATTCATTAACACACACACACACACACACAGCCAAACCCCAACTATTCAAAATGCTCCTCTACCCCAACCCTTTCTTTCTCACCAACTGGCTGGAAAAAAAAAAATCTTCTTGAATTTTTACCAGGCTTCTTACCTTCAGATTCTAGTTTTTCTGCATTGAGCGGGCTGGTTGGTGATCCCGTTGAGGATTTCCTGCCACTGAGCCCTGAGATCATTGCCATAGAGGACAGTCTTCCAATGGCTCTCACAGCATTGCCCGTTTTCTGGAAAACAGACACAGTCTGGACTCAGGCAGTGTCCCTGGTTCCAGTGGAGCAGTGCTGGGCCTCGGGGGAGAAGAGCCCAGCCCGGGAGAAGCAGCTGCTCCCTGGACCAAGGGCCTCCCGAGCGAGCGCAGAGATCCTGCTGGAGGACTGAGCCCAACCTTGCTCTGCTCAGCACTATCAGCGTGTCCGAAGATGTTCGGAGAATGGAATGGGGCCTGGAGCTGGTGTGTGCGTTAATGTGACTAAACAAGGTCAACATGAAACAAAAACCCTTTTCATACTGTGCTTCAACTCCCATAAAAGGGATAGTTTATATAAAGCAACTGCAGGCTGAGACAGCTCCAAAGACTTATTGCTGACTGGGCCCACTGGGGCTGTTTCTTGTAAAACAATGCCAGTGATAGGATTATAACTGGTCAAGAGAATAGTTACTACAGATCCCATGGGTCTTGATGCACAAGGGGAAAAAAAAAAAAAAAAACCAACATTCTGTTGACCTTGGGAGCTCCACTTAACCTCTCTGGACTTCAGTTTCCTTCTGTGTATTAGGAGGGGGTTGGGCAAGAAGATCTCCACAGTTCCATTTAGCTCAGTGGATGATTTAGAGACTTAGGAGATTTCGAGAAACACTTGGGCTGGCCCCAGCACAAGTCTCTGATAACACAGTGGAGTCAAGAGGGGTGCTAGGCCCTGCTCTACACTCAGGCATCGAGAAGCAGCACCCGAAGAGGCACTTTGTGAGGAGATGGAATTGCTGCTGAGAAGGATCAGAACTTGAGATCTAGTTTCTTTCTTTTATAGTTTTATTTATTGATTGATTGATTTTTGTGTGGTGCTGAGGATCGAACCCAGGGCCTTGCACGTGCTGGGCTCTACCCCTGCGCCATGACCCCAGCCCCTTGAGATCTACTTTCTCTGGATTGTGAAAATTCTACCAAGCATAGGATTTAGGTCAAGAAATCCTCAAAAGTGTATAACTGTGTTTCTCATCTTTCAATAAAGTTGCTCACCCTTTTTCTAAAGTCAGTGGGAATGACTAAGATAAGAAAGCTACAGCATGGCCAGGTCTCTCCATCTTGCCGCACAGCAGCTTTCTTAGGCATCCAGAGGCTGCACATCTGCAGAGCAGCTGTCACCTCAGATGGGCCACTTGTCCCCTTCTGAGAGAGCAAAGAAACAGCCTTTCCAGAGGCCTGATATTCTGCACTCGCTCACCAGACCACACACTGCACAGGCAAAAACCGTTTTCCTCCTGAATTAACTTCCCACACTTAAGAAGCTCAGTAAAGCCTCAATTTATCTGGGAAGTCAGTGTTTTCAGTAAAAGGATTATTTCAGTTGGGCGTGGTGGTGCATGCCTGTGATCCTAGCAGCTCAGGAGGCTGAGTCAGGAGGATCCCAAGTTCAAAGCCAAACTTAACGAGGCCTTAAGCAACTCAACAAGACCCTGTCTCTAAATAAAATATTAAAAAGGGCTGGGGATGTGGCTCAGTGATTAAATGCCTGCCCCTGGGTTCAATCCCCAGCACCAAAAAAAAAAAAAAAAAAAAAAATTAAAAGCAAAGAACTTCAGGATGCTAAGGAATCATACAGAAAATTGTCTGTGTGTGGTTTAAGTAGAGACCTACTGTTGCAACTGTGATCACTTTTCCATCATGTCCCTACCCTCTGAGTCACACTTGCTGTTTCTGTGCACCCTGGACAGAYATTTCACCTTGCTCTGTCCTCTGGCCATCCACCCTCCACACATGGCACTGTACTGTGGGTGTGCCTCTGGACCTCTGCTGCCATAGTAGAGCTGGGTCACTCTAAACAGAACCCAGGAAACCTCAGCGGGGTGATGAGGAAGGAAGACGGTGAGCAATGACAATGCAATGGTGTGCAGAAATCCAGTGGTTTTGCAGAGAATGTCCCTGCAGATGGATACCACGTGGCAACATTTCCCGCTCTCCTGGGAGAGGCCAGTCACCAGTGGCCTAGCGGAACTGTTTGTTGGCTAGTGTGTGGAGAGACCTAGTTTTTCCCAAGAGAGCTTACCATGCCTTTAGGAATCCCTAAGAAGATAATAGCCCTACCTGTGCCATCAAGGTCTGTCTCAACAGCCTACTTCCTGATCAGCTTAACTCTCAGACTCCGCTCTTCTCTGCTCTCCATTCCCTTTATCCAACACAGATTGATTTGTCCTTGGCTAGGCATTTCTAAATTCAGAGGGATTATTCCCAACATGAGCCAGGTTATTTCTATAACTACTGTATGACCTTGTGCAGGTTAGTTTTCCTTTCTGGGCCTCAGGGTCTTTTCGTCAGAAGATTCTGATCTTCTTGAAACTCTAGTCTTCCACAGAAAGACTGATTCATACTCATGACTATGTAGTAGGGAACACCCCATTTGAGCTCATGGGCTCCCTAATTCCAGACATCTGGATAGAGATTGATAAAGACCATCTTTGCTTATGTGATATGGAGAGATGATATCTTTTCTCTTCTTGGTTTCATTTTGTAACAAAATAACTAATGTGAAATTTATCAGAATGAGGCAATCAAAAAGGGTTATGTATTTCAGAGGAGGCAGCAAATATGTTAACAAGCAAGTAGTGTCACCCAGAGAAGTGTTCCAGCAGATGTAGATATTCAGCATATAATTTCCTAACCAGGGAGAAATGCAAGTGCTTAATAAGGAAAAATTTAAAAATAATCTACATCAGAATTCAATCTTTGGAAACTGATTTGTAGAAAAACATTGGTAAGGAAATTATTTGTCAGGCTAAGAAAGAAATATATCTGTATGTTCTAGTCTTCCAGTTTCAAGCCTTTGAGCTGAAAATCAGTTGCTGCTTTACCAAGACCTTTGGGAATTTGGAGAATAAAAATCAAAACAGCAAATTTTCAATTTTCTAACTTCCATCCTTGTTTTGAGAAAACCTTCTTTTCATTGGTGGGCAATTACCAAGGTAGGGCAAGACGTGTCCAGACCTCGAACACAGTGGAAGAAACCTGGCCCTTGGAAAGCAAGTTAGAATAACCCACCATCCCAGGTTGCCCAGGACTGTGGGGTTTCCCAGGATTAGGGTCTTTCAGTGCTAATGCCTGGACTGTCCCTGGCAAACCGAGTTGAGCTGGTAACCTAGCACCTGTCAGCCATCCAGGCCTCACATACATACCAATAGCCCGAAGACGACAATGTCCCCTGACAACATCCAAATAGGATGGCCAAGCTTGTCTGTGCTACTCTGACTCTAAGGCTTCTCCCATGGTGCCCTTTGATCCATTCTGCTGGGATCTTTGGTTCCCAGAAAATAAAGATGGCTACCTATAGGCCTCCAAGTCCTGGTCTTCTACTCCAGTCTGCAAGCAGAAGCCATGTTATCCTGCCTGATCCACCACCATTGCTATTCCTCAACCATAGGGCTTTGTAAAGTTCTTTCTGTATAAATTTAAAATGCACCTTTCAGAATAACTTATTCTAAGATCTACAATATGATTGGCCATCTATACCTAGTCTAGCCTTGCTTGTAGGGATTTATTTCCAGATTACTTTCTCCTGGGCCTTTTATGAARACCATGACACCAGGACAGTGACAAGGTTCTTTCTAGAGTTGGCTGGGCCACCTGTGCTCACCCTGCCCTATTCCCTCCGCACAGCTTACCTCACGTCTTCCACTCCATTTTTCCCTGCCCCACAGAACAGGACTGGCTGCCCTGAGAGCCAAGTTTGAATGAAGTTGAATTTAAACTGAAGTTTAAATGCGGAAAACATTTCCCTGAGGAAGTGACTTATGACAGCAGGGCAGACACAGCTGAATTGTCACCAGTGAAATTACGCTTCAGGGACGTTACGTGTTGAATGGGTTTTGGGGACTACCTTTATGTGCCGTTTTGTGAAACCTGACCACTGATTTTGCAGAAAAAWTATTTCCAAACACTTTTATCTACATTAAAATATGGAATTGAAGCACTTTTTCTGAATCCTACCCTTTTCTTCCCTGTTCCTCTTCTAGAAAACTCTATGGCTGACAATACTTAAATGATAAGAAAAAAAATTAAGTGATTAAAATATCAGCACAAATTTCTGTTCCCTGGCTGATCAGACTTGCTCCTCTCCYACCTTGTACCTTTTCTCTGCCTAGCCCAAGGTTCAGGTGTCCTCCTGGCTTCAGTCCTCCTGAGATGTGCRGAGGTGATAGGCCTGCCCTTTAACATATAGCCTCGTCCAAGCAAGATCCAGTCAGACTTGCTTGCTCTGATTACTGCCCCACCCTGACTTTGTTTCCAGAAATACTTCTTTGAGCTCTTCCAGCCAGAGGATCATTAAGTTAAACCAACCATTGATTTTGTGGACCTCCCCTCCCTGCCCCAGCTTTAAAAAAAAAAAAAATTCCTACCCTCATTCTAAAGGACTCAGAAGGTAAGCAGCACAGGTGTTCCAACCCATCTTGTACTTGGAAGGGGCCAGGAGACCCACCCAACCTTTCCCAGGTGCATGTGCTAACCAAGAACTGCCCTCCACCGTGAAGGACCTCTGGCTGCCTGTGCTGGGGACGGTGGTCCCTTGAGCCCCTCACCCATGGGCATGACCTCATGCTTCTTCGCTCTCTCTCTCAACCTCTGGGTGAAGCTGTGCTTTCATGGGAGTTTTTATGGTTTGGTCACCAAGGTGGTAAATAATAAGTGTCCCTGTGACTTCCTTTTTCTCCATCACACAGGCATGTCTCAATCCCCAGGTCCCCTAAGTCTCTAGCAGAAGCATATCCCAGCACATCCAGGGACGTCTAGTTCCTAACTCTTTCTTTCTTCCACTTGTTCCTTCAGGGAACCCATTCAACATGTAATGTTCCCTGGGTTCTAGCGCCATGCTTAATTCCCAGCTCCTGCCCTGGAAGCTTTCCTCTATCCCACAGCAATTCTGGTGGAGACTGGCCCCCCTCCCCTGCCCACACTCACATATATGGTTATGGAGAGCTATACTGATAGTTTATAGCTCCTAGTGTGCCTTATGTCCTTTTATGTCTATCTGCTTCAGATCCCTGCTACATATACATTCTCTGACTACAGACCTTGTCCTCTTCAGTAATCGAGAATTTTGGAATGTAAATTGTGATAATAAAAATAATCAAAAAGTGAGGATGATGGTGATAAGTGCTCTATGGTTTTGGATAACAGGTTTTTAAAAAATTTTAGTTGCAGTTGCACACAATACCTTTATTTATATGTGGTGCTGAGGATGGAACCCAGGGTCTTCCACATGTTAGGTGAGCACTCTACCACTGAGCCACAGCCCCAGTTCAGGATAACAGTTTTATTCATCTTGTCATTAGAGGCAATTTGGACTATGTGTTTTGGAGCCAGGTTTTAGATTGGATTCCTGGTCTTTCCACTTGGYTGTGTGATGCTGGGGGACTTCTGGAGGGACTTTTCTGACCTTTTCTCTACCTTAGTTTGCCTGTAAAGTGGAGAAAATAATAGTACCTACCTCCTGGGATTAAAAGACTCTATGTGCAGCAAATGCTCTGGATGGCTCTGACCTTGGCCAGCCCTCCAAATGCATTCACTGCTGGGAGCGTTTTTGAATGTTCACTACGCACCAGGTGTTGTGCTAAAGGCTGTAAAATTATCACATCTAACTCCCAACAATGCTGTGAGCTGGTGCCAGTGTCCCCGCTTGACAGATGAGAAAATGAATTCACAGCAAGGCTAAGTTACTTGCCTAAGGACACACAGCCAGTAACATCCAACCTCCCTATGGAGTRGTGACAGTCTCTCTAGAGCATGTGCCCTCCTTCTTGATCACAGGGAGAGGATGCCATCCCACCACCTTTGAGGAGGCCACATTCTCTGGGGTTGCCAAACAGACCTCAAGGAGGCCTTGCTCATTCCCAGCTAAGAAGACATGAATGTCAGTGAGGGCCAGGCTACAAAGTCTCTTCCTGATCTCTCTGGGACAAAGCTGAGCAGGATTGGAGAGCCAGCTGTACTTGAGAAACGACTTCCTCTGTGCAAAGGACCCTAGCTCAGGAGCAAGAGAACACTGTACCTTAAGAGCTGCCTACAGTGATCCCAGACTATTTCACAAACACAGTTAGACTTCCTAGGAGAGGCAAGAGCCAGCTGGGAGTGAGAGTGGCTTGAATAAAGCAAACACAAGAAGCAACATCCCATCCAAATGAGCCCCAAATCACCTGCCATTTTCTTCTTGCCATGTACTTCTTCATCCGGTCCTTGGAGAGCTTCTTGGCCTCCATGTTCTTGGTATCTTTCATTAGCCATGGATGCTGAAGGCACTGGGTACAGTCCAGGCGGTTTCTGATGGAAGAGAGATCAGAGGACTTCTGAATAGGAAGGGACCTCAGTGATCACTGGTCAGATCAGAAATGGGAGGTTACTGTCTCTGTCCACATGGTGCAGAGCTCAGGGCTCCCCACACCCAGTCCATCCATCATAATCAGGGGCACTGTGCACTTGTCTTTCCCCTGTCTTGGTCTCAGGAACACGGACTGGACCCAGCTTRGGTCAGGGTTTGGAAGGCCCAACCACCAGGGAAGCAACTGGAGTCTCTAGACTTGTTCCTGGAGTTCAGGAAGGGTCAGTGCCGCAGGGTATCTGGGTATAACTGGCACCGTATTTCAGGGTGGGTTCATTCTGCTGGTCACAGGGGGGCTGGGATCCATGGAGGCCTAATTCTTCTGCTTCCCCTTCTAGGGAAAGACAAAACCTCTGACAATCATTGAATTCTCTCACATCTTATGGTGAGGCTGAGTGTCAGGTTTTTCCTATTACAGCTCAAAGAGGTATGTCCCACATACAAATTATAAATTATGGAAATCTTAGAACTGCATTGAAACTCAATATAATCTTTCTGAAGGCTCTTTGAATCTAGAAATATATCAGAGCTGTCACTTTAGTTGTAACAGGACTAATAAAACCCGAAGAATCAAATACTAACATACTTAGAAAAATGACTAGAAAGAAGTATAGCAGCAGGAGGTAGTGATCTTTAAGTAAAGGGATTATGGATGGTTTAAATTTTCTTCAATTCTTCAAATTCTCTACAATTTATGCATTTTACCATATAGAAGAAAAAAAGATTTTTAAAAGTGATGACAGATTTCTGGTTGAAGAACTGCTAAATATAAGAGTTTATGGGAATCTAGCATTTTAAAATATTTKATTAAAATCGGTCTTTGGTAAGACAATGTATAAGCAGAGGAGCCCAACAGCCTGTTACTAGATTAATTTAAGGCCAGGTGAGAAAATAAGCTGTATATTGCATGTACCAAATCTTCAATGAATGAAGCTTGGTTGACAAAAGCCATCCTTGGACCAGTCATTAGGAGAGAGGTTTCCACCTGGAAGGTGGGGGGATCCCTCACCTTGGAAATGAACCTAACCCACCACAATTTCCCCACTCTCCTTGGGCCATGTTCACTTCTGATACAAAGACCATGACAGCCAAAGGCTATAAGCATTGTCAAKGAGTGTAGACGATCGCCTCTGGGGTTGTTGGCCCTGAGACGGCTAAAGAGGACAGAGGGGTGGGGGTGGGGGGGTAACAGGAGACCCAGATGCAGCCATCTAAGAGAGTCTCTGATATGCTTCAGTAGCAACTGTGCTCTCCTGTCCCAAATAATGTTACTACCAAGGAGAAGCAAACTGCAGCCTCATAGGGTCCACGGGCCAGGCAGACAGGCAGAACCCAGGCTGCAAAGTCACCTGCAAATGCTGAGCCTCCTGCAACCCCTGGAGGCAGCTGCCCCAACCCTCTTGTCCTTCAATATTTAACACCACCTGTCTCTGAAGGGTTGCAGCTGCTCCCAAGGCCCAAATCTGACTGGAGCCAGGCCTGCCTCGTCTGGCCATCTATTCACAGACGGTGAGTGCTGATAGACTGGAGGTCCCACCTGACACCGTCAAGGTTCCCAATCCCGCCAGCTCTCCCATGCAGAGTTCCCTCACCTTCTTGCTTTAATCTAGCTGATTCTGCTCACAAATGCCGCAGAGCCACAGCCACAGCCACCTGTAGCCTCCTCCCCTTCAGTGTCCCCCACAGCTCCACCTCCAGCTTTCACTGAAATTCCTGGGCCTGTGTGTCTACCCTTTCCTTAGAGCTTGGCCATCTGTGTGCCCAGACACAGCAGCCTACCCGCCGACTTCACAACTGCTTTTTGTGCTATTAGGTACTGGGCCACTTTCAGGCAGGCAGTTCTTAAATAARTTAGATATGTAAAAAGCACCTCACTGGAATAATCTGGGGGTGTGATAAGGACCCTCCAACAGGTTTTCAGTTGCCTCTGTATCTGCTCTCACAGATATAGGGAGGGTGGATCCCCTGTGAGCTTTGAAGAGGGGCTGAGGTGCCGGCAGGGCTTCATTAGGTTACAGCCACACACAGAACCATTACCCACACAGAACATTACCCTGCAGCCCTCTTTAGTACTCACCTTTTCCAAAGAACTTTCTGTGCTTCTAGAGATGGAAACAGTGTCTGGCACCAGGACCAGGGGTCTGGGGGACCCTTCCTCTCCCTGCATGCATGCAGGCTGGTGTCCCACTGTGGCTGCCCTCCCCTCCTTAGGGAATAGCAAGACTGGACTGGGGCCAAGGGGTGAGGAAGTCCTTACTTCATGTCTTTCTTCAGCAGGTTGCTGATGAAATCCTTGGCATCATCAGAGATCTCATCGAACGCCTCGTCGTCGAAGTCCCAGGTGGCAGAGGTAACGTTGGCTAAGGTCTCGTTGTCGTTGTCGCCCATGAAGGGGGAGAGGCCGCTGACCCTGGGCAAGAAAAGGAGGGCAGCAGGGGTGAAGGGCAGGTTGGTGGGGTGGGGGATGCAGCCCCCATGTGAGCACCAGGTGAGGGCTGGCAAAGCCCCCACCCCAAGTTCCTCCGCGCGCCCTGGCACCCGCCTTGTCTTCATCTTCAGGAAGAAACAAGGTGTCCCCCCAAACCATGGGCTTGTGTGGYCCCAGCTGTTCTCAGTGGCTCACTGCTCTGTAGAGGTGTCCCCGCCTCTTGACACCACCTGCCTGCCGAGAGGCTGAGGTGGTCTCACCATCTGCCATGTGGCTGGGGTGGCAGGAATGTGGTTTTTAAGGACTTCTACATGGGACACCACAGGCTGATGAGCCCCTCTGCCCTTATCTTCAATCTTCCTTAAAGCCCAGACTGGCACTTTCCCCTCCAGAACCTTCTCTAGGTCCCTTCCTTGGGCTTGAGTCTCCACCCTTACCATGGCTAGTCTCTGGTGCCCACCATGGCACCCTGCCCCTCCCTTTGAGACCCTCAGCTCTCTCTTTCTCTCTCTCTCTCCCCTCCCCACCAGCTTTCAGCTCCACAAAGGGGTCCCAGCACAGGTGGCTCRGCGAGCAGGAGCCAAATGAACTCRTGGGCTGTGAACCAGCAAGGGGGGTGCAGAGCGCCGTGGGCATTTACACCACCCTCAAAAGTGTCCCTACAGGTGCCTGGCAGAGGACAGAGCACAGCCTCTTCATTTGCTGGGTGACCCTGGGCAATTCCACTTATTTCTGTCACCCTTTCTTCTCCTCTAAAATGGAGAGCCACTGCTTAACTATAGGGCCACCATTTCTTCGGCAGCAGCAAACATCTACCAAACTTGACCATGTTCCAGGCGTGAACAGAGGAACTCATCAAACCTTAAAACCTCCCTAGCACACAGAGAGCTCAGGACTTTGCTTAACAGAGGAGGCAACTGAGGCACAGAACACGGCTAGGTGACCTGCCAAGGGATTCTCAGATGGTGGGACAGGAACCCAGGTGTGGGGCTCTGGAGGCTGCTGCTAAACTACTGCTGAACTAGCTCTTCTGTGAAATGAAGGAAGCCACTGTGCACACAGTAGCAGCCATCTGTGGCCACTATATTGGACCATCCCTCTGGGTCACCTCCATTGCCTCACCAACCTCTGGTGGTAGGAACAACTCATTTACTAGTTGCCCAAGTCAAACAAAACTTGGAAGGTAGAGAACCTAAAGCCAAATAGAACAGCTCACTGCCCTGACCTCTCACCTCATCTACATACCAGCAATGACCCTACCACACTGACTGAGGGCCACTGCACAGGGGTGCCAGCTGCACAGCTGCCTGGAGTCCTGCCCTTAGATGGGTCCCACACTTGGAGTAATGCCCTGCTGCCAGCATCTTGGAATCCTTAATAAGGTTTCAGCAAGTGGCCCTACCTTTTGATTTTGTAAATTATGCAGCTGGTCCCAGCCTGATCCCATCTAAAACCCCATGAGATGCATCTGGGGCTCTCAGGCCATCAATCTCTCAAGTTAGAGCTTTATTAATGTCCCTTCTCCCAAATCCTTATAAGTCCATCACCATAAAAAATAATGCAATCACAGCTTCTAAAGCTGTTTTGGCATGGAAACGGCCTTGGCTTATGAAATACACCCACAGCCAAACACTGAATTTGGTGGAACAAAACCCACCTGGAAGAAGGCTGGCATTGGGAGAAGCCCTCTGGTAAGTGATTTTATTAAGCAAGGAAAGCTTTTGCAATGAGAATTATCTCAGCCTAATCAACATATTTGTGTTTTTGAATAACAGACTTTGGTAGTTGATATTTCTTAAGGCAGGACACTGATTTGTTTTATGAAGGCAAAGAGATGACAATTCCCACTCCTGTCACATAAGGAAGGGTGGGAGTTTACCTGAGCCTGTACTTTGCCATGTGATTCCTTTCCCCTCTCTGGGCCTCAGTCTCCCCTTTTATATACCATGGGGTCTGGGCTAGATCTCCCAGGGGCCTCTCGGCTCCCTGCATCTCTGCCACCCTCCGTGGCCTCYGTGAGTCCCATCAAGCAGCAGCATGTCTCTGCCGATCAGTTACCTGCTTCTTCTTGTCTTTATATTTTCTATTTGAAACAAAGAGGGGGAAAGTCTTGCAGCACTCTAAAAGATGGCAGGAAAAGCAAACAAGCCTGCTGTGGAATGCCGAAAGGTCCCCTTCTGCAAGCCTCCTTTCCTAATTAGGAACTGTAATCCTGCGAAGATAGGTCTTAATCTCTGTGCTTTTCACAGGCAGGGAGAGCCTCCTGGCCTCTGGCCTCTGGCCCTCCTCCCTCCTGGCAGCCAGCCATCTGAAATACCCTCTGTGTCCTGTGTCCTGGCTGGTTCTTCGCCTGCTGAGGAACTAGCATTCTCCCTACCAAAGAGCACATCTCTGGAGTAAWACATGGGAAATACAGGTACACAGCAAAGGGGGACGAAGAGAGTTCGAATTTCCAGTAATGCTGTTTTCTGGGTGGTTGGATTTTGCTGGATTTTTTTTAAACTTTCATTTTGGAGCTTTATTGGAATTTCTATAAGAGATAACATGATTTTTTCTTTAAAAATAAAAACAAAAACCTCACTATTTGTTAAAAATCAACCAATGAACAAATACACTAATGTTAGCATTACAACATAACTCTTTCCCCCTTCCTAGTCGTATTTAGTTTTTAACCAATCTATTTATCTGGTTTTCACAAATGTGACAGGTCTGGGCAAAGTCTCGGGGTGTGTTACTTTTTCCTCACTTCACATCTCAATATGTACAGTCTCCATGTTCATGCTGAACACTGAGGAGTGACAAAAGTCATGTCTGCAGGACACTCTCATTTCTCCATTCTTCTGTTTCGCAGTACTGGGGGTGGGGGTGTCAAACCCAGAGCCTTGTTAATGCTAGGCAAGGCTCTACTACTGAGTCACATCCCCAGCCCCCCCTTTTAAATTTTATTTTGAGACAGGGTCTCACAAGTGGCCTTGAACTTGCGGTTCCCCTGCCTCAGCCTCTTGAGTAACTGGGATTACAGGTGTGTGCAATTGCACTTGGCTACCAACTCTAATTTCTTCATTCTTATTTTCAGTCCAGAACTTCACTGGGGAACTTAGTGCAGGGGCCTATCCTGCTATCAGGGCAGAATCTCAGGAGAGCAGAGGGCACATAAGTGCCTCTTGGGCTACACTTTCTCCATGTTGTTTTTCAAGGTGCAGACCAGCAAGGGGACCACATGTCTGCCAGCAGAGCTATTGACTACAGCAGAAGGACTTCCTCTTTACCCCATTTTAACTTTCAGATACTCTGATGGCAACTTGAGAGGGCTGGGAAGGTCCACAGAGGCCCCRAGTCTGGTCTTTTTTAATGGCTGAGGAAGCAGTGGCCTGGCTTTAGTCCTGTTAACCACAGCCCAAGTCCCTGGACAGCAAGACCTGAAGGTGGTGGCCAGGTTTGGCAAGGGAGCAGAGAACCTGGAGGTCACAAGACGTGAATCAGCAAGCACATCAAACTGCAGCAGTGGAGAGGGAAGGACAGCCCTGGGTAGGGAAGGCAGAGGCCACCTGATCCTTCCGAAGAGCCCTGCATCTAGACCCCAGTTGCAGGATGTTCCCTGTACTCTGCTTAAGCATGGGACTCCCCCAGCTGACTGGGCTGCTGTCCCCAGAAGAACTCAAAAACTGCCACTCACCTCTCCTCCCTTCTGGTATTCCCCCCTTCCCAACCATATACCAGGATGGGGGCAGCCCCAGCTCTTGACCATGCAGGTACTCCACAAATGAGCTGAAGTGAGCCAGGCGWGGGGGTGCATGCCTATAATCCCAGTTACTCCAGAGGCAGAGGCAGGAGGATTATGAATTTAAGGCCAGCCTGGACAACTTAGTAAAACCCTATCTCAGAGTTTAAACAAAAAACAAACAGGTGGGGGGCTGGGGATGTAGCTCAGAGGTAGCACACTTGCCTAGCTTGTGCAAGGTCCTGGATTCAGTCACCAGTACTGAAAAAAATAAATTTATAAATTGAAGTGAAAGAATCCATTGTTGAAGCAGGAAGATGAGAGGGAGGGGTGCAGCGGCGATTGCTGCTTCTTCTTCCTAGTGGTGGTGGAGAGGAGGAAGAAATGGAGGAGGGATGAGGCAAAGCACAAAGCAGAACCCCCTCCCCAAGGCAGCAAGAGAACACCAAGTGCTCAGGAAACAGGAAGGGGAGACGGCAGATGGAAGGAGGTTTTAGAAAAGGAGGCGGGTGCATAATTTCTTCCACATGGAAGTATGGCCTGGCGCTCTCTTCCTGCCAGAAACCAACTGGGTCTTGCTCATTTCAGAAGGCCTCCAGGAGACCTTCAGAACCAGGAAGGAGAAAACCCAGGTTTGGAAGTGAGCAGGGGCAGGACTTAACCAGGTTTCTGGGCTGGGTTTATGAAGGGGTGCCATAGTGAAGTCACATCACTCTGGGTGGCCTGAGGCAGCTTTCTGGAGGTGCCCACCAAAGACCTGCTGAATTACAAAGGTGTTATCACTTGGCTACCCGCCTCCTACTTGCCATCTTTCACTGGGCCCAGAAAGGAAATCAGGAGGGATTCTCTGTTCGTAGGTGGAAGCCCCTCAGACAGGGACTGTCAGACAGACGACTTGGCTGGAAACAGGTTGAAGCAGGGCAGAGGATGCCATGGAGGCACCAGAGAATCTCTTCTGGGTGCTTCCAGCATGACTCCAGAGTTCTGTATGGCAGAGGCTTACGTCATCTAGCTGGCTCCAACTTTTATTTTTGGTACCCTGTGCTCTGCCAAGAGCCTTAGCTCTGGAGGGGAATTCCCAGACCCAGAWCAGTATTGAGGGATCAGCTCAGGAGCATCCCAGAGGGCAGTGGCCCCCAGTGTGGGTGTGGAGTCAGGGCATTGTGTGGCGCTAAGCCAGGGCTGAGCCAGCACCTCTCCTGGGCTCCACTGGTTTTCTGGACACATGTGTGTCTATGTTCTCCCTCCTGACATCCCTATGCCAAGCACCTTCAGGTTGGTGCCCCATGCATCAAAATTATCCTTCCCTATTTCTTGGTCTTAGTCTAAAGGTAATATAGTAAATGGGGTAGCCTAGAACCCAAACCACCATGTTCTTCCACCCAAGTTTTTATTTTAAAATTAAATGCTCTTATGACCTAGTAATTCTATTTCTAGATTATATACCCAAAAGGAATGCATAGATAGACTCACTAAAACATGGAGACTTCTTTTAGACTTCAAATTGGAAACTACTCAAAAGCTCACCAATGCAGAATGGATAAATTAGCTGGATTGTAGTCACAAAAATGGTCTGCAATGGCTATGGGTACAGAGTTAACAGTCTACAACTGCAGATAACAGGAATGAATCTCACCACTGGAGCAAAAGAAGACTGTGTGATTTTACTCACATGAAGCCCAAGAACAGGCAGAACCAATCCACAGCAAGACATGAGGACAGGGGGTGTCTCTGGGGAACAGTAACTGGGAAGGTCCCTGATGGCTGCTGGGCCTGGTGGAGTCTGTCTCCACCTGGGTGAAGCTCAGGGTGTGTTCACTGAAAGCTTAATGACTAGTCCAGTCCCTGCTGTCGCTGACCAGTTTGCCTGAGGCTGTCCTCATTTTAGCCCTTAAAGTCCTGTATCCTGGGAAACCATGGGTCCTGGGCAAACTGGGACTCTTGATCACCAGCCCAGACTGTGGGAAGTGGACAGCCAAGTGGCCTCCACGGCTCCAGTTACCTCAGTGCCAAATGAAAATCAAATTCCTGCCACTTCCCACTTCAGGTTTGCGCAGAGGRTTGAACCAACACCCGGGTGGAAATTGGTGTTCTGGACACACATACACATCTATCTCCTCCCTCTTGACATAGAGGCCCCCTGCTATGGGACAGGAAAACACTGACACAAGCAGGGAGGCAAATCTCATTGGTGGCTGAAGTGGGGCCTGGGCATCCAGCCAAGCCATAGGGCAGCAGGGTCTGAACAGAGTGAGCTGGCCAAGGATGGCTCCTGTAGGACCAGGTGTTTCTCAGGGCTCAGAAACCAAAGCAAGGGTTGGATATGATGGTGCATGCTGTAAATCCTAGCAACTCAGGAGGCTGAGGCAGGAGGATCACAAGTTCAAAGCCAGCCTCAGCAATTTAGCAAGGTCCTAAGCAACCTAGCAAGACCCTGTCCAAAAAAAAAAAAAGTGGCTCAGGTTAAATGTCTCTCTGTTCAATCCCCAGTACCAAAACAGAAAAGAAGCCAGAGTGAGCACTGGCCAGACCCAGGGCAGCTCCGGAAGGGGCAGACTGAGCTCAACACTCTGCTCTTTACCATAGGAGCCAGAAGAAAGGTGGGGCTGAATTTACTCACCAGCGCCATCTCCTGGAGGGCACTAGTGTGAAGAGAGGAGGGAAATGCAGACTGGCCTGGGATTTCTTCTCCACTGATCTGGGGTGGGCTGTTTGTGGGGGAGAAGGCCCAGGGAGAGGAAGAAGGAGACCACCTGGGTTACAGAAACTGGCAGAGTTTCAACTGAGGGAGTCTGTCCTCACGGTGGAGAGTAAAACAACTCCTGGGCTTACCAAAAATCTCTACTGCATCAAACTCACTCCACTCCTACTAAAGCTTTTGTAACAGTGATTCCAAAACCCACAGGGCATCAGAGTCACTGAGACTCTTCTCCTGGGTATTCTTCAAGATTTTTCTTTAGTTTTCTATAAAAAWGTTTAATTTCCCTTTGATTTGGACAATAAAAAATAACTTTTAAAGGCATCTTTGGGGAGACCATCTCAAACTATTGCCCCATGAGTTCAGGGATGCCTCTGAGGCTAAAGACTGCCTGTGGCCTGAGGCTTCAGAAATGAAATCAACGTGATGCACCAAGAGAGTGTGTTCTGGAGCTTCCTTACTCCAGGTGTGTCCCTGGACCAGCACCTTGGGTAACCTGGAAACTACTAGCAGYGTGGAGTCTCAGGTCCCCCAGACCTGAGTCCAAACCTGAAACCTGAGTGAGAACCTAGGTGACTCATACATGCTAAGGGTTGCAAAGCACAGGTCTAGATCGATGGCCTCTCTTCTTTCCCCAGCTTAGTAATSGCAATGGTCATGTTTTCCACCTGACTTCCCAGTTCTAATTACTGTATTGCTCCTGTTTTCCTGTTAATTACTGTATTGTTCCTGTTTTCACATTGAAGTACATACTCTGGGGTCAGAGATGAGGCTGGTGGTTGAGGTCCTCATCCCAGGAGGATGGGGTGCTGTACTTGCAAGACAATGAAGATTCCCAGAGATATGCACCTGGGCTCTCTCGCTTCTTTGTGGGCCCATCTATACAGGTGATGGTGCCAGCTGCATTTACCCTGCTCCTGACCAAAGGCCCCAGGCTGTCAGCACTTGGGATCATGAGGGACCTGGAATGGGGATTTTGGTGTGTGGTCTACATAGCTCCAGAAGAGTGAAGCAGGCCACTGGTGCACTGGGAGTCCACGAGCATGGTGGGCCATCAGGAACCAGGAATGGGAACCTGTTGCCCTTTTGCTCTGGGGTGGGCTCTCCATCATGACCTGCCTTGACCCCTCCCTCACAACATTATGGCAGCCTGGGACCCGTCCTGTGGGACTCTCTGACCCCCTCCCCCCACTGCCTTGGGACTTACAGGATATAGCAGATGACCCCGATGCTCCACATGTCTGTGGCATAGCCGATGGGCTCATAGTTGATCACTTCTGGAGCCACAAACTCTGGGGTCCCAAAGAGGACCTTCAGAGACCCTGCATTCTCTGAAATCAAGACAGAAAGGAGTCAATTGCCAGCACATTGTAGAGCCAGGTCAAGGTAGGTACCTGCCTTGTCTGCGTGACGAGCCCCAAACTGGAAGGGACAGACAAGGGCTGGGTGCTTAGATGCTCTCTCCTTAGAYAACCATACGAAGGAACCTGGCCTCATTAAACAGGTGCATCAACCCACCAGAGAAGCCAACAAACCACACACTTACCTCAGATGTCCTGAGAGGGATGGGGAGAGTGAGAAGAGGCCACTGAAGCACCTGCCCCTGAGTGGTCCTTCTGTGTGTTATCTCCCATAGGTGGTTCCCCAAGTCAGGGATCATAGCTTACACTCAATAACGTCTACCAATCATTGTGTCTTACATACTCTGCTACATACTTTGCAAGGATTTTTCTATTTAATATTCTCAACAATCCTGAGAAGTAGGTGTGATGTCCACGCTACTGAGCACGAAACTGTGGCCCACACAGTAAATCAGGTTCAAGACCTGAACCAGGTGGTCTATTGCTGAACCAGGTTCTCTCCATCCTTGTCCCTCTGCTCCTCTCCTGTTGCCCCTGTAGCTCCATGTCTCTTCTCTTAGGAGCCCTGGGATGTTCAGTGACCTCAATCACACATGGTGTCTCTCAGTCTCAAAGGACGGGAGCCTGTTAGTTTTCACAGGGCAGGGGCCTGCTGCTGGAAGCTATCGTCAGCATGGGGAGTTGCAGGCCTTTGCCCCGGGGGCCACATCTGGTCTTGTTCAACTATGCAGGCCCCATGGCAAATGTTCTAAAACAGACAGCACTTAATAGCTGTCACCCAAACCTTCCTGTTATGGTAACCACGTCTATTCTCTGGTCCTTGGTGGATACCACTGTTGCCACAGTACCCCTCCCTCAAGGGAATCTGAACATTGTGTTCCCTGGTTTTGACACTGCCAGTTCCTGAGGCCAGTGCTTCCCCATTCATTTACTTTATTAATGGGTACTGCCCAAAGGCAGGCCGTGTACACTGGCTGCTAATCCCACCCTGTCCCTGTAGCAGGAGAGAGCAGGGCAGGTGTGTTGCCTGGTGTCGTGTCAGGATGTGCTTCTGGCCTGAATGCACCAACAACCAGGCAAGTCAAGGCCTATTAGGACTTCCCTCCCTCAGTGTCCTCTATAGCAATAACATGGCCTCAACCAGGACTGGACATCCTGGGAGGTTTACCAGATGGCGTTAGCTTGGAGCTCCTGTTAACTGGGCAGTGACTGCAATGGGAGAGAGAAGCCTTTTGCTCAGTTACTGAAACATCAAAGACTGCAGAGCAGAGTGGCCGCAGGTGGTTTGTGAGGCAGTCACTGACCAAAATGACTTCAGGGTGGGTATGAGGCCCCAACCACTTCTCCCCTTCCCTCCTCCACTTAGGGTATGAATAGCAGAAGGGCTACAGAGCACCTTGGACTGGGCTCCAGTCCTTCCAGCCCCAGCACCTCCCCTGGCTCATGGTGGGATGTGCTGGGCACAGCGCCTGCACATCTCCTTCTCTGTGAAGCAGGGCTCAAGAAGTCCACCCTACCTACCTCTGGGTGAGAATCAATGGGATTTTTAAAGTTTTTATTTTTAAAGTAAAAGTACTCTGGAAACTGTGCAGTATGATGTAGATGTGAGAGGCTGCCATAATCAAAATGAGTTTTGCTGCTAATGATACCCTTCTCCTCCTCCTCATCAGATAAGTAGCTAACKCCTACATGGTACCTACATGGTACTTGCCACGTGCAGGCACTGCTGCTGTTGCTTTATTTTAGGACCAACCTGTTTGGTCCTTGTAATAAGCATACAAGGTATTGTGTCACACAGTACTAAATGGCTGGGGCTGACTTTGAAYTTGAGCAGTCTTCATGGTCTCCCACTTTGGCCCTGATAATGGAGCACAAACAGCTGCTTGCTACCACACAGTGGAAGAGAGGTAGTTCAGCCTTACCCAGCCTTCGGGCCAGACCGAAGTCAATGAGCTTGATCTTGGTGCCCGTCTTGTTGACGCACATGATGTTCTCAGGTTTGAGGTCCAGGTGCACGATGCCCTGCTTGTGGATGTACTCCACTCCCTCGGAGATCTGCCGCATATACTTGATGCACTCACGCTCTGTCAGCTCAAAGTCCTCATCGATGATGCGCTCAAACAGCTCTCCTCCTGAAACGCTGTGGAGACAGGAGGTTGGAAAGAGGTTGGAAGGGCACTGTGGTCAGATCTTAGGATGTGGGCTGTGGGCTGGTGGGGTGTCTGGCCCTGGGAGGATGGGGGAGGGGCACTTCCTACAGCTTTATGAGTCCCACTCTTCCATCATGGAAGGGGGGTCAGGGTCTCCTGGTTTTCTGCTTTGAGTGGGGCGCTGCCCTGCCAAGCTGCTGGGGGTCTCAGGGAAGGATCTAAAATCAAGAAAGTACTCAGCCCAGACAGTCTCAGGGGTGTGTTTGAATGGAGGAATCYGGATATGATCTCCTTAGCAAAAAGGTTAACCACTGAGCAGTCTCTTTCCCTCATAGGACCACAGATGCACACACACAMAAAAAATTCTCATACCCTTGCTGTGTCTTTTAGTCACAGGGAGCTGAAGTTTAAAAGATAGTTTCCATAAGCATGGCTATGGAAAATATTTTTCTGTTAAGGAAGCCTCAGCAAATTTTCTAGAATTAGTTGGCTATAGCCCACTAAACTGACAGGTTTGCATACTCTGGCTAAGCCTAGTATTGGTTTACTTCCTCCAGCCACTAACTATCGTGCCTGGACTCCTTCCTTGTCCACACTGGAAGTGTAATCYTTTGTACCTGGATAGACTCTGGATCCTGGCCATGTCCATTCCATTCTACTCCTGGAACCCACAGCCCGGAGTCCTGTGCTAAAAGCTGTCCTGGGCCTCAGCCAACCAGCATATTGTCCTTAAGTGCAAATGCATAGCCCTGCTAAATACAACCCCAGCTCTTGGGCCACCTTCCTTGCTTACTGCTCAGCAGGTTTAAAGCATGTCCTTAGCAACTTATGCAGCATTCAGATACCAGTACACTCTCTTTCCTACAACAGACTGGGGGTCCACCAGCTGGACAAGGCTGGATGGACTTCCTTCCAGGACTCTGCTCTTACTAGAGTGTTCCTTCTCCTAAGGCGGAACATCATGAAGAGATGAAGGACTGACTGAACACCGTATTTCTACCTTTTACAAACTATGTAAATTTGGAAAGTTTACCCTCCAAAGCCCTAGGTTCCTTATTTGCTGTACCTCACTGAATTGTTAGGAATGTCGAAAACTTTGTAAAGTATCTCTCTTGACACATAGGAGGTGCTCAGCACATATTATTGTTTGAAAACCTCTGGTGGGCCAGGTGGATCTTGCCACTGACCTCTGTGGGAGAAACAGACAAGGATGCACTATGAGGTCCAGCTCATCATGGCCTGTCCACCTCCATCACCATATGATGTTGGGACAGGACTGAGCTAGAAAAGCTTAGTGTACGCAAGTAGCCACTAGGGGGCACTAAAACTGATGCTTAAGAACCAACCCAAGAAGAAGGTTCCTGCACAGCTAGCAGGTGGCGCCCTTGTCCTTAAGCCCTCCATTTCTATTGCTCTCCACCAAGGCTTTGAGACAAACTCTACAATGTTAGGTCTCAGGTGAGTCTTAACACTTCTGTGTCTCAATTTCTTCATTTGTAATCTGAAGATTAAAATATCACCACCCCACAGGATTGCTACCAAGATAGAGTGAGTTAATCCAGGCAAAGTGCTTAGAAGGCTTCCCTGTCTAGAGTTTGTCTATTCCTCCCCTCTAGATAGGGCAGAGGGTAGGAAGGGAAGGGAGCGGGCAGGGGTTAGCAATGATGGTGGAATGTGGTGGACATCATTATCCAAAGTACATGTATGAAGACATGAATTGGTGTGAATATACTTTATATACAAACAGAGATATGAAAAATTGTGCTCTATATGTATAATAAGAATTGTGATGCATTCTGCTGTCGTGTATTTAAAAAATAAAATCAATTTAAAAAAGGCTGCCCTTTACATAGTAAGTGCATGCTGATTATTAATTTTTTATTTTAAAGAATACTTGGGGCTCTCACTAAAAATACAGATTCCCAAGCTTCTTCCCTGGAGATTCTGATTTAGGAAACCTTGGGAAGGATCTGAAGATCTGTACTTTTAAGACATACCYAGTTACTCTAATAGTCAGACAGGTTGGGAAATACTGGCTTACTCCACTACCATCCTGATAGACAGCTGAAATCCACACCCTAGAAGAAATTCCTCCCTATTTCTCTATATGGAAAGCTCTTTCCTTCTGTGGGCACATGTGCCTTGTCTCAAAGTTGTTTGTCAGCATGTCTGCAAAGGTCTGGCTCACCTCCAGGCCTTCATTTGCACCTGGTGGTATCTGGAACACACAAGATGCCCCAAATGTTTGTTTATACTATTCTGAGAAAGCAAGCAACCATTATTTTCCATGCCCTTGGGAATGTCTTGAGGCAATGAGTAGCAGATATCTGAGCCATGGAGATAATTTCTAAGGCACTTCTAGAGGTAACTTATTCATTATCAGTTCAAATAGGTTTGCTCCTATTCCAAATAAGGAGGATTAATGGCTCTGAAAGTTTCTCTTCAAGATTCTCTAGACTATGGTGAAAGGTATAGGTTTGGTAGAAAGAAGCCACCATCCACAGAGATAGGATAATGCCAAGGGCTAAGACTGTGCCAGAGGAAATGTGTGCTTACTAAATTAATAGTGAGTGAATCAATAAATGAAATACTTATTATCACCAAGGTTGCCTGTCCCAAGGGATCAAATTTATCCTCAAATCTTTAGGCCTTGGCCAGCCCTCACTGGCAGCCAGAAGGGATGATGCTGGCCAGAGACTCTCTACCCAGGCTCTCCTCCTTATCTCATGGCTTTCAGCTGGATGCTCTTTGATCAGTTTTGTGCAGTAGCGCAAAGGAGAGGTCTGCCACCAATGACTCAGCCTAAACCTCACACCCTCTTCAGGGCTCAGGGTCCCACCACCACTTGCAATGTACCAAATATTTCCAAAAGGACAAGCCCAGGCTCCAGGCCATGTCTCAGAGCAGCACTGCTGTAGGATGGGGGCTTGTCCAGTAATTTCAGAAGTTAGAAAGGCAGAAAACACATGTATTCTTCTTTCTCATATATCTGAGACAGCTGAATGGAAGGAATACATTTCTTTTCCTTTTTTTTTTGGCGGGGGTACCAGGAATTGAAGTCAGGGGCACTCGACCACTCACACATTTCTGTATCACCAAGCTTCACTCTTCTCTTGAGTTCAGTTTCTCCATCAAACAAGAATAGCAAATTATACTGTTAAACATCAACCTTTCCCTCTCTGTGGCCCATCTTAGGATGATTAGGCTGGAAGGAAATATGGATGGATGGAGGACGTACGTCCTGCTCCCCTCTTCTTGGGTCCAGAGCCCCAGCACAGGCAAATGAATCTTCTGGCATTTGTGCATGTAAGACTTGCTCTTGTCCATGGGGGAGGAGTGGGGTGAAGGGATGAAAGCCAGACCAGCTGAGACCTTCTTATATTTCTCCCTGCTTTTTCCATCCAGCTTGCCAACTCTCAATTCCAAGCTAAGTATGGTATTCTGCCCACTGGTGCTGCCGCCTGGCCTTACCCAGGCTCGGCTGCCTCCTGCCCCCTCTCACGAACTTGCTCAAGGTTTAACTTCTAAAGATAAGACATTTCTACACATGTCCTCATATGCCCACTCGGCCTGGACTAAGCAATTTATTCTAGAACAACTGTGAAAAGTCTCAGCCCCTGGAGTTTTGTAGGGGGTAGGATGAACGAGGTTATGGACATGGGCTAAATACTTCCTGAGAGTGGGGGGCTGGGGGCGGGGTGGTGTGTGAGTTTGATCAGAAGATACAAGTGAAGATTTTCTCAGAGTCATTTATGATTCTACAGAATTGTAGATTTTTATAGCCAAAATGGGAGGCTTGGGATTAATTATTCAACCCAAATACTTCTTTTCCTGGTAGAATTGAACAACTATAAAATAGAACTTGGGCCAAGCTTCCTGATACTAGGAATCTGTTCCATGAAACCTAATTCAATGTTAAAATGTTGACATCATACTTTTAAATGGAAAAACAGGCCAGGAGACAGAGGAAATCAATGTATGATACTGATAGTCTCCCCTCCAATCACAGGGCACTGTGTCTTAAAAGCATTGTTCCACTTAATTCACACAGCATTCAGGAGACCATYGTAATAGCCTCTTTTAGGTATAATAAAACTAAAGATTGGCACAGTTGAGCAACTTGTTCAAGGTCAGATAACAAGCAAGAGGCAAAGCTGGGATCTGAGTCAGGTCTACCTGACTCACATCTGTGCTCTTAACCACTCTTGCCTGTCCTAAGGAACATGTTAGAAAAGGAGTATATTTAAATGTTTCTGCGATCTCCCAAGGCCTCATCTTTCCTGGGGAAGAATGCCCAGACACTGAGGAAGCCTTTCCCAAGGACTGAGATCCCCAAAGTTCAGAATGCATCTCGCAAGGACGCTGAAGGCAATTTTATAATAGCTGCAAAATTTTCAAAYGTGCAGACCCTTACATCCAGGGCTCCCTCACTTCTGGGAATGTAAGCTACAGATATACAGAGGCATGTGAGGTTATAAACAATGCTTATTTGCAAAAGCAAAAGACTGAAAACTGCCTGACTGCTTATCAAAAGCAGATGGCTTAAAGACGTGTGCTGTGTCTATACAGCAAGATCCCATGAAGCCGTGAGAATGAAGGACCGACTGTCGCACTGCATGGGAAAATGCAAAATATGGGATAGCAAGCCCAGTAAGTTGCTTTGTGTTATTGTGCAGAAAAATAAGAATGTGTGTGTCATATATGTTCTCATTTTCATAAAGAAACTTTGGAAGAATACAGACAGAAATCAATAAAATTGTTTACCTCTGGTGGAGGTGGAAGTGAGGTAGAAAGATAGGGGACAGGGGTGGGAATAAAACTTTTCACTGTGTATTTCCTTATAATTTTTTGATGTGATTTGTATATTTTCAAAAAATTCTGAATATTCAGATGAGCAAAGGAAAAAATGCAGATGCCACAGAGGACACGTGACTTCTTGGTGCCATTGTGTTTGTATAGTGTGTGGGCGTGTGTGTGTGTGTGTGTGTGTGTGTGTGTGTGTGTGTGAGAGAGAGAGAGAGAGAGAGAGAGAGAGAGAAGGAGGGAGGCAGAGGATTGGGATACAGAGGAAACAATGGATTCTGGGAAAGCCTTGACTGGAGTTCATTTGATCCATTCCCCTGCCTTTGCAGAACTCAGCAGAGAAAGGGCTACTCTAGTGAGTGAGAAATCAAAAAGGCAAAAATAAGGGTGGAACAAGGTCATGCAGAGGCTCAGTGAAAGGACCAGAGCAAGAGGTGTACTCCCGGTTTCCAAGCCCCCAGCCCCAGGACCCCTTTCCTTTTGTGGGGAGTCAGGAAGCTRCCCTGTCCTTTCCCTTCAAGCTTACACCACCTCTAGGTAAGAATGCCCTGCATGAAATCAAGGACACTAGGGATGGCTTTGGCCCTTTTGTGAGGAGACTAGAGGGGAAAGGATGCAGAGCCTGGCAGATGTGCCAGTGAGAAAATGAGCACAGGATGACAGGCAGGCCACCGCCCAGTGGGTCAGGGCCAGTTCTGGTTCCTACTGGTCAATCCTGGCCACAGGGTGGGGAGAATCTTGCCCAGTTCAACTGAGTGCAGCTCTGTCTACCTTGGGTCAGACATGGCTGAGGTGGGACAGTAGGAGGGACACAGGTGGGGGATCCCAGTCCCGCATGCCACTCACATCTCCAGGACCATGACGATGTTGGCCTTTTCTTCAAAGGCGTCCACACACTGGACCAGCTTRGGGTGGTGGAGGCAGTTCATGATGCTGATCTCCTGCCGGATGTTCTCTTTCTCTTTTGCTGAATATGCCTTGAAGAATTTCCCTGCCCAGATTTTTCCAGTTTTCTTTTCTACAAGTCGAAAGACTTGTCCAAATTTCCCACTACATACACACCAAAAAAAAAAAAAAAAGGAGGGGGGGAGAAGAAAAAAGCCAAATTTAGTCAAGATTTCTACTAAGTTGGGCTCTCAAACCATGGTGACAGGACAAACCTGGCCTGCATCTTTTTACAGTCAAGGTTTGACTGGAACCCAGACAAACCTGTTGGCTTACATATTGTCCATATTTGCTTTTGTGCAGTAATGGCAGAACTGAGTGGCTGTGACACACGCCTATGGCCCAAAGAGCCTAAAATGTCACTACATGGCCCTTTATGGGGAAAGTTTGACAATCCCTGCTCCAGATCAATGAAGTATGCTGCTATTTGGTCTTGGTTGGTGGCTTCCCTTCCCTGAACAGGGACCCATGAAGTCGGGTTGAGTCCATCCTTCCCAAATACAGGATTATTGAGCTGTTGCCTTCCACTCCAGCCTAGCACCATCTCCTGGTGACAGCCCAAGGAGAGCCCTGCTGCCCATTACTGGGGAGCATGAGGCTTCTCTGTGACAGAACTCATCCTCGCAGGGCTACCAGGGCAGACTCCTTTCCCATAGTGGTTAAGAGCTTTGCATGGCTTCTTTTTCTCTCCTTCCTCTTGTTCTCCTCCAGGGAGAGACCGCCTGGGATCCTCCACACATGGGGGGAGTCAATGGGAACACTGTGGAGCAGGTTCACCTTGGGGGTTGTTGGGGCCACCTCGCATGTTGATGAAGCACTGAGCATGGATGCCAGCCGGGCTCCTCTACTTCTGGGGACCATATGGAAGGGATCCTAAACATCACCCCACCCACATCCAGTTGTATTTCAGGGCTGTGCTGTGAATGGAGGCACAGAAAAGGAAGGCCTTCCCAAGGTTGCGACAGGACTGCAGGAGGGACTCTGTGGTAGTCTGACAGTGTGCAGCCAATGATGCATTCCTGGGCTGGTGTCCCCCATCCCCACGGCAGGAATYAGGACAGGAAGAGGGGCACTGGGCTTAACTCTGGGGCTGCACCACCCTCACCCTGGGGCCCAGGGGCAGCTTCCCACTCTACTTACGATCCTAGTCTCTCTTCAATGTCATAGAAGTCAGATACTTTTTGTTCCGTGTTGACCGTCACTGTTCGGTAGTCAATCTCAGTCTCTTTCTCATCTGGAGGGCATAGAGTCAGGGTGAGTATGAGCCATCAGATCCCCTTGCTCACTCTGCTCCACCCTGAGAGGCTGACCTAAGGCCACCTGGCCAGCACTCACCATCATCAGACACCTCCACTTCATCCTTCGGCTCTGGGGGAGACAAGGAGGGGCAGAGAGAAGATGTGGATTAGTGCTGAGGTCCATCGAGAGCAAGGCATGCTGTGGCTCTTCCTGGGCACCAGACCTCCCAGCCCAGACCTCTGAGCATCCTCTGGAGTCAGTCAGTTCATACTGTCAACAGGGCCAGGTGCAGACTGGCAGGTCCTGGCCTCAGCACCAGTCCTTCCACTTCCCCACCAGAGTTCAACTCCATCCCTTTCTTTCTAAGCCCATGGCCCTGGACATATCCTCTTCCACATCTCTTCCAGTCCCTCTGGACTTTCAGAACCTACACACAAGTGTGACGGAGTCCTTTTCTGCCCTGGTTTGAAAGTCAACAACTTACAATTGCTTCCAGTGTCAAATCTATGTATCTATTTGTTGGACATCTTTTATGGGATCCCAGCAGTATGCCAAGCATCTTGCCAGCTATGTGGGCATACAAAACAAAACACATACAAGGCATGATCTCTCTTCCTTGTTGAACCTTATGATTTAGTTGGAAAGGCAAACACATATATACTTGAAGTAMCAATTACAAAGTGTCACATAACCAAGTGCACATCCTCGAGGCACACATTCGACACACCATGGAGGGAGGCAAGACAAAATGGGGCCAAGATGTAAAGTCAGAGCAGTTGTTCATGGAGGAGTAGGCTTGAGTTGTGTCTTAAAGGAAATGATGGACACAGTGAGGGGTCAGCAATGACACACAGCGAAGCCAGCAGGTGTTCAGGAGGCAGGCCTAGGAGGGACACGGGCAGCCCATGCCAGCTGCTCTCACGGGTATGTCAGGAGTGAAGGGTGACATGGGGGCCAGGCAAGGTGTCCCCCAGAACACATCCATTTCTGAGTGCTAGGTTCTCCTTTGTCTTGATACATGCTTGTCCCTCGACAAAAGGGCCACTTTGGCCTTGGCTGAGTGCCTTTCCCTTTCTGGGCCTCCACTTCCTCATCTGGAGGAAGGAGTTCTGCCAGGTAACTGTGTAGTGCTCTGCGCTCCTCGGGCACCATGTGGGCCGTGCYGTGTTCTGGCCGACAGGGATGAAGGGAACTTTCCTGAGGAGACAGAGCAAGGAGGTGACAGAAATGGGAGGGAAGAAAGGATTAAAAGTCTGTGCATGTGTGTGTGAGTGTGAGTATGTGTGTGTGTGTAGCACAGTGTGGAAGTGTATGAGAGTGGGTGTGAGTGTGCACTTGTGTGTGAGTGGTGTGAGCTGTAGTATGGGAGCTTGTGAGTGTGTGGGATGGTGTGGGAGTGTACAAACGTAAGCGTGTGAGAGTATGTGTGTGAGTGTGTGAGTGTGAGAGTAAGACAGGGGAAAGGGTGTGACTTGTGGAAGCCCCAGCACAGCAAGGCTGGGGAAGGTGGTCCATGTGTCAGCGTCTCCTGAGGGGCCGACACAGAGCAGGTTAGCTGGCAGGGCCAGCGGGATGGGGCATCATGAGGAGCCATGCTCGGATCTGTGAGGGAGTGGGCGCAGCTTGATCTGTGGGTGGTGAGTCCCCCTGTCATGCGGAGGGCAGAACAAGGACTAGAACCTAAACCATCAGGGAACAGCAGGATCTGTAGAGGGTAAGGGCCACTTGCTGAAAAGGGTTTGAGAGTTATGAGCCTGAAACCAGGAGCAAGAGGAGCTGTGATCTGTTTAGAGTGCTTAAAACGCCGCTGACAAAGTTTAGTTTTAAAACTAAACATGAGAGTACTGGGAAGAATAACACGGACACAGTCATGGAAAATGAAAAAAGATGAGGACCCAGAGTCTAGCTGGGGAAGCACGAGGACGGGGCGCCACAGAGACTGCCGGACATGGGCCCAAATGATCTGTTTTTCCAAATTTATAGAGCTGAGAGTTGAGTGCCACYGTCAAATCCATCAGTGACAAGGGTGACCTGAGAGGATGCACCTGGTCAGCTGAGGGAGGACTGAATTGTTCTAGCCTTGAAGACGATGCCCCTGAGATGTACAGTGAACCCCAGGGAGGAGCATAGTTCCTCATCAGGGCAATGTGCACTGGCCACGACAGGTAGGGTCACTCTGTGGCCCTTGGTATCTGCTCCCAGGACTCTGGATGTTGTTGGCAGTTGGAGGGCGGAGATAGAGCTGGATGAGGAGTGGAGGGCCACTAGGGAAGGGCTGCCATGATGAGGCAAACAGAAAAGGGTAGGCCTTTCCGGTTGGGAAATAAGTGGTGATTTAAAAGAAAAGCATACAATCGCCAAGGGACAGGCCAGGGTTACAGACCATAATCCACACAGCACTCTATCGCCTGAGGGAACCATGCTGCGCAGGCAGGCCTCAGTAGGAGAAAGTCATGGGAATGGGAACTCACGCCCTGAGGGGCCACAAGAACCAGGAACAGGTCCAGTGGATGTGTAGATGAGTCCTTGTTCACTTGAACACCTGGTGGATGCCAGGCCCTGGCCTGAGTCTCAGAGACAAGATGGCGGTTTCCTGCAGGGAGGCCCCAGCACGCTGACCTACAGTGCCAGGGAGGAGACAGTGGTTCTGATATACTCAGKACCCTTTATTTTCTTGGTTTCCTGCCACATTTTCTTGGTGTGGCAAAGGGACTGGAATGTTCTGAGCAGCAGGGTGAGAGAGTGCAGGCAGCCTTTCTTGGCCTGGTGTCTTCCAGGGTTTGTACTCTGCCAGTCAAAGAGGGGCAGTGCGAGAGCCATGAGGGGTCTTCTGTTACTCTGGCATTAGGGACCTTCCCAGGCAGCCTTGGAGAAGGCCTCCGTTCCAGAGCTGGCCTCTCCCCATCACCCTGTTGCCAGTCAGACAACWGCAGAGCTGGCTGGCCTTCTGGCCTCCTCCCAAACACCATGCCTGTCCTCACCTCTGCGTCTCACACGCTCTGGCTGGGGGACTAAACCTTATCCTTAGGGATTCAATTCTTCACTTTTGTCTGCAGGGGCTCTTGTTATGACCCCAGCCTGCCGTGTCCCCTTCTTCCCTCCTCCTCTTGTCTGGTACATTTCTACATGAAGGGCAAGGTGACCAGGAGGGCTGGGGTGGGCAGAAGAGGAGAAGGGGAGAGACCACAGTTCAGCAAGCTGAGCTTTGGGAGCATTCAGGGCTGCAGGAATGACAAACATGACCACTTGGTTTCCATCTTACCACTAAGGAATGAGCTAAAATTATAGAAGAAAGGACTTGAGCTAAACATTTAAAAACAACAACAACAAAAACCCTCTAATTAGAATGAGCTACGAGATTGAAGAGCTAAGTGGAAGAGCTATTTGGCTGAGGGTTCTGAGATATTTCTGAAAACAGATGAGAATCTCCTGACCCTGGAGTGGTGTTCCAGAGAAGACCAGCTGAGTGCTAAGCACTCACACAGCCAGACCCAGGGAGTCCCCTGGACAGAGCAATGAACCTTTCTGCAGCAGGGGACTGCTGCACACCCAGTGGGCACTAGAGGGCACCGTGGCCCTGGTCACATCCTCTAGGGCCAGGTGGGGCTGGAGTCTGGGACAGGGATGGCCTAGGTTGTGTAGCTCTGACTGCCCTCCAGATTACAAGGAGCCCCCAATGGGGCACGAAGCCTCAGTTCCAGCTGTTTGCTAACAACTATTTAGATTAGGACAGATGAGGAGTAAGAGAAACAAGTGGATTTAAGAGTCAGAGCAGGATTGGGTGGGGTAAGTGGAGTTCAAGACCTGGCTGCAAGGGAGAGCCATCATGGCAAGGCGTGGCTGTTTACTTGGCTTGGAAAGGCCAGGCAGGAACTGTCAGGTTAGGGACCCTAGTTTGAGGGGTGGCTCTGGCAAAGAGAAGTCACTGAAGTCCATGGGGAGCCCACTTTGTTTTTCACTGTATCCCCAGTGCCCAAGGCAGTGCCTGGAGCACACGATGGGTGAGTGCCCTGCTGAGGACTGGGATGTAAACAGGGATGGAACTGAGATCAGGATGAGGTTAGGAAACTGAGGTTGCCAAGGCAAGAGGCAGGAGTAGTGGTGGTGGTGAAAGTACAGCCCACGTCAGCTGGGCTTCGTGGAGCAGAGTTAACAGGCACTGCTTCTAATACAACCTCTGTAGCCCACTGCTCCAAGAAGTGACCTCCTGTGATCTCCAACTCTATTCATCTGCCAACTCGCGTGCGTGCGCGCATACACACACACACACACACACACACACACACACATACACACACCACTTCTCTCTCAGAGCTGTTTCCTTTAAAATTGAAGGAGATGGTTTTACCGGTTTATAATTCACTAGCATCTGAGCAGACCAAGGAGAACTCATACCTAACTCTTGCCAACTGTTCTCCCCCCCCCCCACTTGGATAATCTAGCTGGGCCTGGGGTGGGGAGCAGCTTTCTGTCTGGAAGTCCTGGGTGCTAGGACCCCTCCTCTGGATTTCAGGCGATTTCAACATTTCCCTTTGTCTGCCCCTGTGKGTGGGGCAGCAGTGGACTCTAAGAGCCCACTAGCCTGCTGAGGACTGCAAGGCCACCGCCCCGCCCGCCCCTCCTCCTCACTGCTGTCCCAGCTTCCTGGAGGCCAAGGCCTTGCAGCCCCCACCCCCAGGCCAGCTGCCTGGGGAGGGTCAGGGATTCTAGTTCCCACTGTCTGCAGCATAGCAGGGCTCTGGAGGATGTCCCTTCTAGCCACGAACATTTCTCACCACAGTTCTCCCTTTTCTTGCTACTCTTCCAAGTCATATCCAGAAAACATACAGACTGGAACTTGGTCCTCTCCTGGCCCCTCCCTGTCCTGCCTGCTCCCGACTCTGCCCGTTTCAGACTGGTGTGTGATGTGGGGAGGGGTGTAAGAGGGCGGCAGAGGGTGGTTTTGTTACTCAGGTTCCYCCAACAGAACCTGATGCCAGCTGAGGCTCTCAGGAGCTGCCCAGGTGCCTCCCTGGAGCTCAGGGGTAACRGTGCTCAGCACACAGGCTGCTGAGGTGACAGAGTGAAGTCAGTATGTTTTCCATTGGTGTTTCCTGTCTTTCTTTCTGGAACCCTCTTTTAAATAGAAAGTGAAAATTTAAGACCTGTTTTATTCCCAATTTTTAAAATTCAAGAGAGGTAAGGACGCTTCCACACTCATGATGTGTCTGGTTACTTCTAGGAGAGCTCCCTCCCCATCTCCTGTGGCACTTGAGTCTCCCACAAATGTCTCTGCCTCACACTCTTAAGCTCTGCTCTCCCCAAGAGCATAATCCCTTGTATCTGTCCATGTTCTTTCTTTCTTTTTTTTTCTTTTTTTGGTACTGGGGATTGAACCCAGAGGTGTTTAACCACTGAGCCACATCCCCARCCCCTTTAAAAATGTTTTATTTAGGGCTGGGTTTGTGGCTCAGAGGTAGAGTGCTGGCTTAGCATGTGTGAGGYACTGAATTCTATCCTCAGCACCATATGAAAATAAAATAAAGATATTGTGTCCATCTATAACTAAAAATAATTTTAAAAAATGAGATAGGGTCTCGTTGAGTGCTTAGGCCTCTAAATTGCTGAGGCTAGCTTTGAATTCATGATCCTCCTGCCTCAGCCTCTTGAGTTGCAGAGATTACAGGCGCGCACTATCATGCCTGGCCCTCCACATCTTTTACTGCCCCAAACCCTATCTGTATCTTAAATTCACWGCACACCTTTCCTGCTCTTCCCACAAAACTCCTTGAGATAATGTTCCACATTCTTGGCCTCTCTTTCTTTTATCTGTTTCCTAACCAGGACAACCAGTTTTTCACCCTGTGGRAACTATGGACTTTGATCTCAAAGCTCACTACCAACCAAAGGGCTGAATCCAAAGAACTTTCTGATCCTTCATCTCTTTCAGTTTAACATTTCTTAACTTGCTCCTTCCCCTGTTTCTACAATGGACTCCAACCTCCTCCTAGTTCTCTCCCCTCCCAATCCTTTCTCCTGGTCCTGCAGACTCTTGCAGCATGCTATTGGTGTAGACTTTCTTTGTCTTCCTCTGGGTGACCTCATCAATACCCCTGGCTTCAGTTATCAATTAAACAGTGGAGACTCCCAAATGTGCAACCCTTGCTTAACCTGTTTAAGTCCCCTTCTCTTGGATGTCTTTCAACTCAACCTGTCTGAAACGGGGGCCCCCATCTCCTCCAGTACTCCCTGTTATCTAACCTCCAAGTCACTCAAGCCCCAGGGCCTTGCTAAATTGCTGAGGCTGGCTTTGAACTCGCCATCCTCCTGCCTCAGCCTCTTGAGTTGCTGAGATTACAGGCGTGCACCACCATGCCCAGCCCTCCATGTCCTTTCCTGCCCCAAGCCCTACCCTTCCCTTGGTCTGGCCAAAGGATTACAGGCTTTAAGCCAGATGGCTCTCAGTTCAAGCTTCTACTCACCTTTCACAAGCTTTGTGACCTCGGGCAAGCAGCTTCACCCTGCTAACCCTCATTTCCTGCCTGTAAGATGGGTATGATGACAGAATCTACTTCATTGGTTTACTAGGACCGAATGAAATGATGCATGTAAAGTGATTAGCATATTAATACATGGCAGGTGCTCAATGTACATCAGCCATGATGACTCACAATAATAAACCTCTAATTGGCTSTTGAATTTGTGCTCAGTTACCCAGCCAGGAACTGCAAGTCACCTTAGACTCTTCTAATTCCCCCCCTCAACTCTTGAACCAAAAGGATATYAGGAATGGCCCATTCTAGTTCCTGAGGCTTTCCTTCATGCCCTTCTCTTCCCTCTTCTGGACGACCCCACAGAGGCCCATCCGGTACCTGGCAGACTCCAATCTCCTCCCTATCACTCATCCTCCATCCTAGGGCTTTCAAACTTTGATGAGCACACAAATCTCTGAGGAGTGGATCCCATAAAACAAAGACTCCAAAGGCCTGAGGTGTTGGGGCCGAGAGTCTGCAGTCTAACAAGCTCCCAGGATGCCAAGGYTGCTGGTCCACAGATGGCATCTTCTCAATACCCTGCTGAAAATTTTTGATGAATTTTACAACTTTACCTAAACTGCCTTTTATCTTACTTCCTCTTCTGTCTCACACAACATATGCCCTGGCTACACACCAGCTTCTCCAAAAGCCCACCACTTCCACCACTTCCTGCCCTTGCTCATGCCTTCCGTGCCTCTTTGGAATCCTAATCCCTTTTCCAGGACATGGCTGAAGTGTCACCTCCTCCAGGAAACCTCTAGTCTGCAAGATAAATTCTCCATGCTTTCTGCCACATTCCCTCAGCTCTGTTTGTAACACTGCAGTAAGATGTACCCTATCTCATTATAGTTGGCTGTATATACATCTGTCCCCCTAGACTGAAGCTCCTTGTCTTATCTGTCTTTGCATCCCAAGTCCTGACACTATCACCCCCTGGTGGCACTGTACTAAAATTGCTGGTTCGATGTGTTTCTTTTGAAGTTTAGGGGATCAAACCCAGTGCTTGATGCATGCTAGGCAAACACTCCAAATCCAAGCCACTGCCCCAGTCCACGGGCTCATTGACTTTTCAAAGGTCCTATGTACTTCTTTAAAAGTATGAATCAGCATCACAACCTTAGAAATCAAGGCCACGAAAGGCCCCACCAGCCATCGCTCATGTTTCATCCTTCCTGTGCACCCCTTTCAGCACAGTCTTTACACACTTAAGCTCATCCATGCACACTCATCTCAAATGGGCAAAAGGTGGAGTAGCCTACCCTCCGGTTTCTCTCCCACGGCTGTGAGCTCAGACTCCTGGCTCGGCTCACTGGTTCCATAGACATTGATTGCGCGCACGCGGAACTTGTACTCGCGGTCAGGCAGCAGTTCCTGGACGTTAAAAGAGGTGCTGCGGCATGTGGCTAGTTCCTTCCACGTCTTKTCCACCGAGTCCCAGATCTCAACACTGTAGGACTGTACGGCACTGCCCCCATCATATGAAGAGCCGTACCAGGACAGGGTCAGCGAGGAGCTCCGGATATCAGAGGCGCAAGGYGTGCCAGCTGGGGGGTCTGGCTTATCTGGGGATTAGAGAAGCACAATATCACCCAAACTCTCCAGMGCTGCAGGGAAAGACATTCTTTTTCCTCCTCTTTTTTATGGTGCTGGGGATGGTGCAGGGCCTCCCACATGCTAGGCAAGTGCTCTACCACTGACCTACATCCCCAGCCCAAGAACATTCTTGAATTAGCTCTGTTGTGGGGAGAAGYAGCCTTGTGAATCCACATGGAGGGACCTATTCTGGTTCTCATTTCTCATCGACAGCACAGAAAGCCCCACACATACCTACTTGCTTGGAAAAAAACCTTTCTCTGGCTAATTTTCCAAACGACAAGTCATGATTTCCTGTAGTCTGCTCAAGTCATAAACATATTTTTCAGAGTAAACAGATTGAGGAAGCTGCTTAGGAGGCGTGGACTATTTCCCATCAAAAATATGTATTGGGAGAGAGTTGAGGGTGTGTGTGTGTCCTTCATGTCAGAGGCCAGTGACCTGTGACATAACCAAAGGTCTGCCTCCACTTTCTCTRGAACTTGAGAAACATCCACCCCACAGAGGGGCCAGATACGATAGTGGTTGAGCTCTGAAGTCACACAGATTCAGGTTGGAGCATAGACCCGTCCCTGCTCCGGTAGCTTTTAACTGCTCTGCCTCAGTTTCTTCATCTGGATAATTTAGATAGTAATAGCATCTGAGTCACAAGGTTGTTATGAGAAGTTCTTAGGAAGTCCTTGACTAGTCATTGCTATCTCTGTTACAGGAGTTTTGTTCTAACTTTATAGCACACAACAAATCACCCCTACCTACCTCTTTTGTTTTGTTGTTGTTTTGCTTTGCTTTTGTTGCTGGGGATTGAAGTCAGGGTTTCTTGCCTATGCATGCTAAGCATGCCCTGTACCACAGGGCTACACCTCCAGTCCCTGCTCTCCCTCTCTGTTCTCATAAGACTGGTGTATAATGACACAAAGAATTTCAAAAGCAAACTGCAACAGCAAATCCCAGAGATTCCTGACTAAGGGACAGGAAATAAGCTGAGGACACTAATAAGAAGTGGCCCTCTGGGCTAGCCAGCATTTCTCTTCAGGTGATCTGGGCTCAGAACCAGTAAGGCTGCCAACTTTAGGTCAAACCATGGTAGTCAACACTTTAATGAGATTCTTGAGTTTTGATGATTTTTGTTGTTGTTGTTAATTGCATATCTGAACAAAACTCCTATTTTTCAGATTTAGTTTCTGCAGATGGTTGGTTACAGATATGTATGTTAGGTAGAGATAATCCCCTCATCCCCAGAGCATAGTTTGAGTTCATGGAGCCTCACAAACTGGCAATTTAAACAATGCTATGTGGATTTATAAATATGTGAACCCTAGTAAATTTGAGACCTGTTTGTCTGTCTTTCTCATTTGGAAAATGGTGTTAATATGTACCTATCTATCTCTTGGGGGTTTTTGCAAGGATCGTGGAAACAAATGCAGACAGGTAAACTACTTGACTTCTACTCTCCCACCCAAGCTAGACAGGAAGGCCAAAGGGAATTCCTGCAAATGACCCCATGACCAGGTGGAGGGAAGATCTGCTTGTGTGTACATACACAAGGATGCACACATACAAATACATATTCTTATATTTACATAGTCATTCTCGCCCCTCCCCCAGCTCTGCTTCTTTTACATTCCAGCTCAGAATCCATCTGTCCCCAACAACCCAAGCCTGGATCTTGCCCTGAGAATGATTCTGGGAGCTTGTCAGAGCCACTTCCCAGTCTTGCAGCCATGCTGGAGACGTGTGATGGAACCACTTTCACTGGTTGTTTAATATGTTCTCTTAGAAAAACTGTTTGTTCTGAAAGATATATTGGTCTTTTTAGAAACATTTCTGGTGTTGGCTACGATGTTTATTACTCTAAACTCTCTTAGCAGCAAGTGGTTCAAGTCTTCTCAAGACCAGCTAAGGAAGTAAAAAAGCCTACAGAGAGATGAAATGCTCACTGCCCTGCCCCAGTGCCTGGGAGACATGTGACTGGACACAGCTGGTTGTGGACGGGTGTGCCTGAATGCAGATACACTCCATGGGCAAATTTTCTCCCTTCTGTTTTGGCCAAGAAAAGATAAGTTGGAGGAATGAGCATTGTATCAGAGGTAGTATTTGGACCTTTCCTGTTACAGGGGTCTCTAACTTAGTCTCTAACTTACTTAGTATATAGTTCACCTCCTATAGCACAAGAGAAGATACAAAATTTGGGGAGGGACGGTTTAATTCCAAGTGAAACTTCACCACATAATTGGTGCCCAATGAAGAGGGTCAGAAAAGACCCAGCTCTGAAGTCTTACAAGATTGGAAGCCTCCTTAGAGTCACGGGCTGTGCCTCATGTTTTCTGTTCTTTGTACCTACAGACCCCACACAGAGGCTGAACTGGCCAGAGGTGAGAACCCTCAGGATGGATCAGCATGCTCCCATAAGCCTCCACGCCAAAGACAGACACAGTGTGRGAAAGATGTGCTGGGCAGCGCCTGGCCAAGGGGTGGCTGGCTCAGTGTCTGCGGGCAGGAGCCCCACACTTCCTCAGAATTCTCCCAGGCTTCCCTGGAGACTTGACTGACAGAATGGGAATTGCTTCTAAGAAAAGGGTCCCTCATGGTACCAGCTTCAGGATTCTGTGCTCAGTAAATGTTCTTATTTCTGGGGAAAACGGAGGATCCTGTCTGGGAAGCTTCCCACTGGAGCATCTGCCCTTGCCCTCTCTGTGGGTGCCCATGTGAAGTCCATCTGTGGCTGGGCCTAACCTGCCTGGACATCTTTCCACTGGTGCTGAATCCAGCAGCTGTTGGCAGGGCCCCCCATGGTCATCTACATGGATCATCCTCACCCTCAGAGGCTAAGGCACTCTGCTCACCAAGGAAACCCAGCTAGTTAGGGACAGAGCCAAAAGGAGATTCCACAAAGCCTCAGGACCCTGCTTCAGGGCTTGGTACTTTCCAGGCTAGGGTAGGAGGAGATCAAGAAAGCATCTTACTTAGTTCAAGCCAGGCATTACGAAGGGAAATCTCTTGTAAATCATGCAAGTTCCAAACTCAGATGGCATTTGGGGATTATTGGGCATTTGGGGTTCTCTGTTTTGYTTTTTCTCTTTTAAAGTTATTCAAAGAGACCTATTTTTCTGGTGTTGGGTGAGTGAAGGTAAGGAATCCATCTGGATCTGCGGCTCACTCCCTCCTCCTGGAACAGCCCTCCCTCCTCCCTCGGGCAGCAGACCAGGGGTCAGGGGCAGGAAGAGACTGAGCATCTCAAATTCCTGGGCTGCCTCTTAAAATAATAATAAGCCTCCAAAATAGCTAAGCATCACTCATTGAAACTAACTGAGGGAAAGGCTAGTTTTTATTATCGTTTTAAAAATAGGAATAATAGAATATCTGCAAAGAAACTAGTGCTTCAAAGAACATGCCATAAAAGAAGTTTACTGCTAACAAGTGGAAGTTGCATTGAACTGGCCTTATTTAGTTGGCCGATAAATAGGTGTTTCTAAAGTGCTTGAGAACTGTCCGGAGCAGGCCGAGCAATTCCTGTTTTATCTCATTTACATTTCACGTCTACTTAATAAACGCTGATGAGATAATACACAGCTGTCCCTGGATACACACAGGTAAATCAGCTTAGTCCTGGTTTATTTTGGACTAATTCTAAATTCATGGGCCCTGAATGAATGCGGCTTCACTGCTCCCATCAATGCAAGTCCTCATTTTATTGAGCAATTCTATTCTTAGCCCTGCGAGGGGGAGGCAGACAGAAAGCCCGCTCTCCATTCCATTCCCCTCCCAGGACGGCATTTAGCATGCTACTCCTGCCAGCTGGCGGGCAGCCACACCAATGGCCCTGTCAGCACTGGCCACGGAGAATAAGAAACTCAACCATAAAAGGGCACAACTGTAGCCCATGCAGTGGGGATGGAGAAGGGGAGTGTATGGCACCACGGGGGGGGGGGGGGGCCAGGATGGGGGGGGGGGCGCTGGTTCCAGAAAAACAGTTCAAAGCTGTTGAGCCCCGTTACCCAAGCAGGACAGATGAGCAGGAACACCAAGGAAGAGTGGAAGCTGATGCCCGCTGATAGGACTCGGGAGCAGGGCCAAGCCAACTTTCAGATACTGCTCTAAACATACAGCTCTCGGGACCAATCCCCCAAAGTTCCTGACTCCTTGGGGGAAATTAAGGAAATAAGCACCTGGAGTCGCAAAAGAGAGAAAGAGTGAGGAGAGGATCCTTTTCCCCCTTTAGGAATGAGGAAACCATTCCCCAATCTCAGATCCCAAACTCCTGACCTAAGGAATCAAAGGGGTCAGAGGAAGAAAAGGAAAAGGGGAAATGGGCCAGAATGACAGAAGTAGGTGGAGGAGAGCATGGGCAGAGACGGGGGAGAGCAGGAGAGAAGGCAAACAGAGAAATGCAGACCAGGCGGGTGAATCCTCTCTCCTGGGACTTCTAGAGGATTCTTCCCATCTAGGGAGCCTCACTGGGTCTGCAACCCAGGGTCTGTTCTAGTATGTGCTTTGGGCAAGTTCACTGGCCACCTCACTTGTCTCCCCACCTTTGTCCTTTGTCCTCCTATCTTCCCTCTTCACCTGGGTGGAAAAGACTCTCTCTCTTCCCCAGCTGCTCAGGTCCTGGAGGGAGGTGCTGCAGGGCTTCCCAAGGCTCAGTGTGGAAAAAATGGGGGAGCTGATGTCAGCACCTTCTTGGTATGTGGACATTTCTCCAAAAGGCCTGCACATCACCCTCTAGATGAATTTTCTAGACAGAGGCTTCCTTCACTTTGGGGGACATTCTGTACCCATTCACACACCCATAAGTTGTATTTGGAGGACAGGTATCTGAGTGCTCAAGATGAGCTCCCACGTGGCCCCTGATGCACTGTTATTTGTTAAACAGTCTTCCGTTTCCTCTCTGAAAGGCTGGAAGCATCCCTGTCCACCTAAGTCCCAAGTCCTAAGCATATGAGATAAGGATGAAGGAGGGCCACTGGGATCCAAGCCAGGGCACCATATAATGTCAGGGTTACAAAAGTCCTTTAGAGTTCCCTTCTCCAGCTTCCAACTTAATGTCTAGATACTTCCATAGAGAGATTCCAGGGGAAGAGTTCCAAGCACTAAAGCCACATGAGTCCTGTCCTCAGAACATGCAGAACATGTTGTAAGTGCACCAGGAACACACATGGGGGAGTCTAGCTAGCAGGGAGTCAAAGTTAAGGGTAATGCACATTTGAGAATTTTGTGCACGGCATAAGGGTCCAGCAGAGGGGTTGAGGTCAACCTCTGCTCCCTGAGGCCCAGCCATGAACCCTAGGGGTGCATTTGACACTTTGCCCAGAGAGTCTCTTTTTCTAATTTTCACAAAAGTACCCCATAAGCCAAGAAAAATGCAAAACCCACAACAAGTCTTATCAAATACATCAGTGAATACCAGTTCAAAGGCTTTAATGAGCTCAACATGCAAAGGCCACTCAGGCACAAGACATGGTCTACTTTCCATCTGTCTGCTACTTCATCTGTTTGTCCCTCTGCTGTGCTGAGCACCTGCCCCTTGAAAAGCCAAGACTGATGGAGCTGAGCATGGCTAATGGTGAGAAGCAGTTAAGAGAGTGATTTTGGTGTTTTTAGGAGAGAGCTGGCCAGGACTTGAAAACTGATTAGGAAAGAGGAAGATGAGCTTGAGAATCGGTCTGGAAWGGGACTCAGCTTATTACGGGGTGTTGGAGATGAGGAAAAGGGAGTAGAATTCAGATTAGGAGGACTCTCAGAAGAGCAGTCCCTATAGACTGATGGGGCATGGGAGTGAGGTGTGAGGGGCTAAAGAGCGCTAGGGGTGAAGAAGCTGAATTGGAGTAGAGACTGTCCCCTGCAGAGGGTTTGCCCAAAGGGGTGATGGGAGACAGGAGAGGAAGATGGGGTGGGGGGCAGGGGACTACAGTAAGACGGAATATTACACGCCTGTGTGTTTGGCTAAGGGGGCCACATCTGTGGGCTGTGGGAGGAATCAGTAGAGCAGAGAGGTGGAATATAAAGGAGAAGCAGGGAGGTGGATCTCCAAGAACCTGGGATCTAGAGCACAGGATAAGGGGGAAGCCTTAAGTGCAACCAGGGTGGGCCACCCCAGAGCCTGGAGGGTGAAGTAAGTAATGGTGGGACAGAAGTAGACTCCTGGAGGTATGGGGCCACGAAGTTGAGGAAATTCATGCCTGATGTCCTGGATCTCAGAGGGGTCAGAGGCCAAGGCCTGCAGGGGGAGGAGCTTGAGAAACAATGCTGGCCAGAGACAAGGACAGCACTGTCTTAGCTGAGCCTGKAGTCTAACCTTGAGTTTGTGGCATCCTGGAAGTCAGACCCAGGAGCAGTGAAGTTGGAAGGGAGCACTGAATCCAGGTGGAGATTTGTAAGTGGACACAGATGGTAGCAGACACGAAGGAGAAGGCATTAAAGGCCATCAGGAGGGAGCGAGAAGTGGAGGGGCCCAGGATCTCCAGTGTTCAGAAAGATGGGGAATCCAGGAGGGGCCTCATAGGAAGAAATGGTGCTGGGAGTAGGGGTGAGGGCAGGGTCTAGAGCTCTGCGCCAGCTTGAAGGACAGATATAGGGTAAGAGCTAGGAAAGGGGAGGCTGGGGGACAAAGGCCATGGGCAAAGAGAAAGATGGGACAATGGTGAGATCCTGAGGTTTGGGCATCCCGCCTGGGCTCACAGCCTACCCTATTCCCCAACCTCCATGCCACCCAGTGTCCAGACTCACCCACGACAGTGAGGTTGACCTGGGCCTGCCTGCTGCCCAGCTTGTTCTCCACCAGCAGTGTGTAGCAGCCGCAGTGCTCCTGGCGTGCAGCCAGGATGGTGAGCTTGCTGCCAATCTCGCTGTTCTCCACCTTGATGTTCTCGGACTCCTGGATCTGGTGATGGAGGGTGGAGCAGCCAATGGAGACTTGGGCCAGGAAAGGAAGAGGGCTCCTCCCTGGCTCTTACTCCAAGAGACACTGCTAGACAAGCTGTGGGGGGCTCCATCTTGTCTCTGAGTTCCCCCTAAATCCTTCCTCTCCCACCTCAGGCTCCCTGAGGGTTTCCAGATCAGGGATGGGCATGGTGGACAATCTATCTCAACTAGCTCAGGAGTGGACTAGTCTCCTGCTACCACTCTGGGGTGGGATGATAGAATGCATCTGAGCCAAGGCATCCACAAAACACACCCTAGTGGGCTCCCGCTTTGCTGTGCTGACCAATGCAGTGGCTGAGAACTACACGTGGCTATTTAAATTTCAATGAAGTGGAAACAGATCAAATATCCATCAACTGATGAATGGGATAACAAAATGTGGTCTTCATTATTCATCTATAAAAAGAAATAATGTACTGATTCATGCTACAACATCGGTGAGCTTTGAAAACTTTATGCTAAGAAAGAAAACACAAACAAACATCTAAGATAAGCCCGGTGGTGCACACCTGTAAGCCCAGCAACTTGGAAGGCTGAGGCAGGAGGATCGAAAGTTYGAGGCTAGCCTCAGCAACTTAGCAAGACCCTGTCACAAAGTAAAATATTAAAAAATCTGGGGATATAGTTTAGTAGTGAAACACCCATGGGTGCAATCCCCAGGACCTGTCTCCCTACAAGAAGGGCTGGGGTGGGGACTGGTGTTATAGCACTTGCCTAGCATGTGTGAGGCCCTGGGTTCAATCCCCAGCACCACACACACACACAAAATCCAGACACAAAAGGTGATATATTGTCTGATTCCACTTAAATGAAATGTCCAGAATAGGCAAGTGTATGGTGACAGAACCCAGAGTAGCATTGTCAGAGGCAGGAAGAAGAGGAATGGCTGCTGATGAGCCTGGAACTTAAAGAAGTGAGTGAGGGTGAGGATTAGATAATGATGCTTATACAACCTTAGGAATCTGTCAAAACTACTGAACTGTATACTTWAAAAGGATAAATTTTTATACTACATGAATTATATCTCAACAAAATTGTTTAACAATCTTTAATTAGCTGAAATCAAAAATTTAGTTCCTCGGTTGCTAGCCACACCTCACTGCTCAACAGCCACACAGGGACAGTGGCACCTCTGTGTTCAGTACAGACACAGAACATTCCCAACACTGATGGACAGAGCTGGGAATTGGCCAGGTGTCTCTGAAAAGGGATGAGATTCTGTCTTATTTCAGATAATAGTAGCCCAGACAAGCCAGGGCCGATGTCCTTGGGATGCCAAAGGCCAGCTTTCCTTCTCCAACTCTGATTCTCATCCTACAGTCCTCCCTGATACTAGCAGCTTATTGCTGAACCTACAGCAATTTGAATGGCATGGAAACGAGCAATAGAAGACCTTCTGTAGGGCTCCTGATCCAGAGCCAGCCCACCATTCCAGGACCTCTGCTGATCACACACATGGGCACACACTACCCATGCGGCAGTGGTAGAAAGGCTGGGTCCCCCAAGTTCTTTTAAAAGCTCGTTGGAAATTCAAACACTTTTCCACAGGAATCATCATTGTAAGTCCTAGTCTGAGAGCCAAAATTCTATTCAATATATAATTTACTCTCTGAACACGAAGATGCACCTTGATTTTTTTCAGCCTGTGGCAAGTTAAGCCGTTATCACAGAAGGAATCAGCAGGCTAGTACAGGATTACACAAAGCTCATGGTATCTGAGCCGTCATCTGAGGTCTTGGTTTAATTTTCCTGACTCTGAATGGGATTTTAGGCAGATACCATGATGGGATGAGACCCATGAGTAGTTTTATTTTACAAATTTTCTATAAAGCAGGGATTTTGGTAAACTTGGAAGAAACTGTTAGTAAAACTTAGGTTTGGTGGGTGGATGATGGGTAGGTGTGGGTCGGGGGGGGGGGTCTCTCTAAACTGATGAAAAACATTTCTTACTCCTTTTGGCTCAGGGGCTATGGGTTGTCTTCAGGCCACCCCGTCCTGTTACTGACCTGCTTTCGGAACTTCATCCAGGTACATGTGATGGGCTGGGTGCCAGTCACTTTCCCGAACAGCTCCACCGACTCTCCTGCKCGCACCTTTTGGTCCTCAGGAAACTGGATGATCTGAGGAGGCATAGCTGGAGAGGACAGGCAGAAAATGAGCAAGATGGAAGAGATCCCAGGCCTTCTGGCCTCACTGATGTCACATGCTGGGATGCTGGCTCCTCCCTTGCCTTCCAGAACCCTCAGGCTAACACTGAGGGCGCTGACCCTTGTTCCAGAATATCTGAGCTCAGGAACAAGCTAGGTTTATTCTTTTCTTTATCCTGATTTTTTTTGGTGTGACCCACACAATTTATATGCCATAATTCTCCACTTATTGGTCACACTGGAATTTGCATCTCACCCCAGTTGTTTGAATCTACATCCTATACCCTACATCCTACAGGAAAGACTGTTCGTGGGTTTGGAGCTAATGGAGTGGGCATCATGTGATTATTCAAGTTTGTCAAGGCTCATGGGACTGTGCACTAGAAAGGATGAAGAATACTGCAGGGAAATTACACCTTAATACAAAAAGTGGGAAGAAGCCACTTCACCCATGAGATCATCCCTAGTTGCCCTCTACAAATTGCAGCCCCTGTGCCCAGTGCTCCTCACCAGCCTTAACTCACTCACTTACTAATTTGGTAGTGCCCTGCCACCTGACTCCTGGACCATCTAGCTAACAGGATCAATGCACTTCACACCCTTCCRTGGAGAACAGTCAGGGACTCCATGAACAAAGACATATCAGAGCAGGACACAGAAGCAGCACAAAGTGGGTCCTCCACATGGGGGCAGAGCAGAGGGCGGAGGGTGTGGCAGAATTTCGCTAAAGGGATGAGAGAGCTGCTCTGTCTACAAGGGAAGGACGCAGCAGGAAAGAGGCTCAGGCACCAGGCTGGCCAGAGGCCCTGTTCAAGGAGCAGATTCCGCTAGATAAATGCAGAGTTTGAACTGGGGAAGGGTCTCCTGATCACATACCCAGTGGGCCAGTCTAGTTGGGTAAAGGAAAGCCCCCCTGGCAGATGACTGCCTGGCCCCAGGTGGGGCTGTGACTAATTACCTGCCTTCGGAGGTGTCTTGGGGGCAGGTTTCTTTTTCACAGTTGCATCACCTGAAAGGAAAATGTTCACAAGTTATTTCCTGTCTGTTCTGTTTTTCCACAAAGCCCCTGATTCCTGGGAGGATGCTGTCTTGCCCACTGGCCCCTCATCTGGGGGGAAACCCTCATTTGAATATGTCTCTCCAGACATCTCCCTGAGCTTCTCCTACAAACAACCTCATAATCAAATGGAAGAGTCCCTGGAGCCTCCAACGAGATCAAAAACTCAAAAAATGCTGAAGCCATAGTCCTATTCATAGAAGATAACCTCAAACTAACTACTCTCTTACCCTAACTTTCAGGAAACCGCCATAGAGGAAATTATGTCAGATAAAGCAACTAAAATTAGCCTTTGGTGTGGATCCAAGGATCCCAGGCTTCCTTTGGGTCACAGACTGTGGACTGGTGGCTTTTTTTTTTTTCATAATGTTTGTTGAACAGATCAATGAATGAATGGCATCCTCTCTTCCTACCCTACTTTCTCTARATAACTCAAATAAGAAAAATGACTCAAAAAGAAAGTACAAATCTATCCACTCGGCTAAGTAATATGGTACATAGGCAGACATATCCTCAACTATTTTCATTGCTTGTTTTCATATCTCTTTCGGGTCTTTGCTCAAAAGTCCTCTAACCTATTTATTGAAGTGACTGTAAATGTACATGCACACAAACACCTGCCTGTGAGGCATACAGTGGCCATATATATAATTGCCCCAAATCAGAAGATATGCCAGTGTCCCTCAACTGGAGAATGGATGGTCATGGAACACTGATACAATGAAATACTTCTCACCAACAAAAARGAACAAACTATGGTACATACAACAYGGAGGAATTACAGCTCTGAGAAGCCAGATTCTAAAGGTTTTGTGCTGTGTCATTCTATGTATATGATATTCTAGAACAAGGCAAAACTATAAGGACAGAGAACAGATCAATGGCTGCCAGAGATGGAGTGGGAGGGCTGACTATCAAAGGGCACAGAGGCGACAGAATTCTTATCTGGAYTGGGGTGGTCATCATGTGATTATACAAGTTTGTCAAGGCTCACAGAACTGTGCACTTGAAGGGGTGRAGACTACTGCAGGGAAATTACACCTTAATACMAAAAGTGGGGAAGCCACTTCACGCATGAGACTGTCTGTTGCCACTCTCTACAAATTGCAGCCTCTGACCCCAGGGCTCCTTACCAACCCTTCATTGAGGAACTATCCCCTTCAGGTACCATGTGACAAGCCATATACTTATTTCCTGTTAGTAGTTCCCACCCACTAAAGTGTAAGCTTTCTGAGGGCAAGGAKTTTTCTTTGCTTACTGCCGCACACCCAGTGTGCCTGGTACACATTAGGCCCTTGATAACTGTTTGAGTGAGTTACTTTTAACAATTACACAACTACGTAGCTTCGCCTCTGAGGACCACAAAGCAGCAGCACTATGTCCTGGGCTGGCTGACAGTGCTGGTGACTACAGGCAGCTTAGCTAACTGTATGAAAGATTAGCCATGCATTTCTACAGAGGGAAGAGCCTGCCACCTGGCTGAATTCCCCAGGATGGCTGCCGAAAGGAGGCAAACCAACAGAAGCACCCTGAGAACACGGAGCTGATGGCTACAACTACGTGGCTAGGCCCAGGTCGAGGCCTGCTTCCCCAGGTTTACCCTGGCTCACTGCGTTAATTCTCCATCCACCCTTCTCCCAAATCAGAGGGTCTTCTATGTGCYAGGCAAATGCCAACCAGTATACTCCTGCCGGGGTTCTGGGGGCAAACCAAACTATGTAATCTTAGTCAAGGCTTATCTTCAAGGCCCTGACTATTAGGATGTGTATACAGCTGGAAGGGCTTTTTTATGTCTTGTTTTTAAACYTTTTGCCATAAAGGATATTTATAGAACATTTGGCAACACTTGAATAAGGTCAATAAATAAGATAATGGTATTGTATCAGTGTTAGTTTCCTATTTTAACCATCAAACTGTGTATTTATAAGAGATTATCCCTGTTTTTAGGGAAAATCCACACTTAGATATTGACGGGTATGAGTATTATGGGTGCCACTTTCTTTCAAACTGCTCATAAAACATAAGTATATGTATATACATGTATGTATATGTATATGGGGGGAGGTAAGGAGAGAGATGAGAAAAAGAGAGGGAAAGGACATAGGAAAAACTAAACAGTAAAATGTTAATATCTGAGGAATCTGGATGAAGGGTATATAAGAATTATTTGTACTCATTTTGTAATTTTTCTCAAAGTCTGAAATAATTTCAAAAGTGTTATGGTTTGATTTGAGGTATCCCCCAATAGCTCATGGGTGAGACAATGCAAGAAAGTTCAGAAGAGAAATAATTGGGTTGTAGAGACTTAACCCAATCAGTGAATTAATCCCCTGATAGGGATTCACTGAGTGGTAACTGAAGTAGTAGGGTTTGGCTGGAGGAGGTGGGAATTGGGGTGTGGCTTTGGGGTATATATTTGCACCTGGCAAGTGGAGTCCCTCTCTCCCTGTTTCCTGATCACCATGTGAGCTACTTCCCTCTGCCATATTCTTCTGCCATGTTGTTCCTGCCTCACTTGAGGCCCTGAGGAATGGAGCCCACTGTCTACGGATTGAGACCTCTGAAACTGTGAGTCCTTAAATAAACTTTTCCTTCTCTACAATTGTTCTGGTTGGGTCTTTTAGTCACAGCAGTGAATGAGCTGACTAAAACAAAAAGAAAAGTTAAACAGAAATAATAATTTTAAAAATGAGCTAGTCAGTGTGGTTGCTTACATGCAGAAGACAGATACAACACTGTGGGTTGGGGACCTTGTCAAAAGGCTGTGGGGCATGAGAAGGACCTGGAGACTAGGGAAGGAAGAGCTCCCAGGTCAGCAGCAGACAGGGCTCTGAGCGGAGAGCAGGGTGGTATATGGTGGAGGGTGTCTTGAGGGCAGGGCTGGTAACAGAGTCCAATGGTGTGAAGATACTGTCACAAAGAAAATTAAAAATATGGCTCCTATGTTACACTAGTCACATTTAGAGTGCTTAAGAGCCACACATGGGTAATAGCTCACATACTGTGCAGACAGAACACTCTCACCATTACAGAAAGTTGTACAGGACAGTGCTGGTCTCAAATGCCAAGTTTGAGAGTTAGGCCTTTTTCCTTGTGAATAGGGAGTTCTCACAGAAACTGCCCTTAGACTGGGCTCAAAGTCCCCTACAGGTGGTTCTGACACCTGGGAGACTGTTAGGAGGCCACTGCYTAACCCCAGAAGGCACTGATCAGGGCCCACACAGAAAAAATAATACAATTGAGAGACAGAGGGAGGTAGAAGGATTACTTTAAGGTTTCTTGCTTAGATAGATGGGGAAAATTATTTTGAAGGAATATGGTATCTAGGAGTAAAATATGTTTGGCTTAGTCAAGTGAATTTGGTGGATGAAAGAATCAATGTGTATGTAGGCTAGAAGACCAGGATCAGAATTCTAGAGAGAGGTTGGTGGAGACTAGAAAAGAAAGCTTTCAGAATCAAACCTGTGATCAACGAGGGAACTGTGAAGCTGGATTGGTTGTTTGGGGGGAAGAATGAGATGAAAGATGAGAAGGGGTCAGGTCTGATCCCAGGTGAGGGCTCCCAGTGAGGAGCTGCATGGAGGAGGGGCTGTGGAGGAGGAATACCACCACAGAAGGGTGGAGGACAGACTGTGGGAAGGGGCTCCCAAAGACAAGAGGACCAGGGTGACAGAATGGAATGACCAAGCCAAAGACTCTCCTGAAGCGAGAGAAGAGGACAGGTTAGAAGACAGAAGGCCAGGACTTAGGGGAGAGGGTAGGAGAACATAAAGATCTAGAGAGGAAGAGCATGGAAAAGCCAACTGTGGACTCCCATGACTGGCCAAGACACAGAGTCCCTGCCCTCCTTCACCCTGGGCTGCTGGAAGTCGGGGCTTAGAGGGAAGGAGAGAGGGTGTCTACCAAAGATGATCTGACTTTCCCAGGAGGAAGAGGCCTTCTCTTAGGAACTGGGTGGGGGGCAGTGGCGGGAACTATTATGGGCTGGATAGCATTCCCCAAATTCATACCTTGAAGCCCTAACCCCAGTTCCTAAGAATGTGACTTATATTTGAAGACAGGGCCTTTAAAGAGGTGATTATGTTAAAATAGGTCATAAGAGTGGGCCCTAATCCAATCTGACTTGTGTCCTTATAAGAAGGAGGGAAGTGGCAGCAGGGATATGTGGGGAGTCAGGGGGTGGCATGGGAAGAGCATGAAGGAGAGAAAAAGAAACACCAACTAACTGGGGGCACCTGCACACACACACACACACACACACACACACACACACAGATAATGTGACAATACAGGGAGAAGATGGCCATCTACAAGACAAGGAGAGAGACCTTGATCTTGGATTTCTGGCCTCCAGAACTTCAAGAAAGTAAATTTCTATTGCTTAAAGCACTCAGCACATGGTGCCTTTCTATGGCAGCCCCAGCACATAATGCTTATAGATGAGCTCTGGCAGGGTGGGGTGGGGGAAGGAGGTTGATAGTCCCTGTGGTGGGGAGCTGGGGGTTCACAAGGAGATGGGGCAGCAGGAAATCAGATTCCTAATTCGTACCCTATGTTTGGTGGCTCTGGGTTAACTTATGTGGCTACAAGTAGAGTCCTAACTAATATGGATCTTTCAATGTTACAGTTAAATAAGATTGAAGGCTGTATTTTTGTTTGTTCTATAAATTTGGAACTACACTGCTTGAGTTGGCTAGCATTTGAGGCTGGYTTGATGCCTATCAGTAACAACAATTTTAAATGTTAAAAATGTTCTGTATTCTATCCATATTTTATATGACCATCTGCTGGAATCCATTAATGATGTTCTGGGCTCCTAGGGAAGCAGAGTCATTGAATTCTAAAACCTCATTTCTTTCAGAGGGAGCTCCCCATATGGTTCTTACTCCAAACACAAGTCGGGCATCTCACCTGCTTTCATTTCATGGAGGAGATGGAGTCTCCTAAAAGTC